GAGGACAACAAAACACAATGTAAATGAGTTAGTAGTTCCTCAGAGGAGGAATGCTGGTTAAGTAACCTCAGGGAAGAAAATGGGAGTACGATATATTCAATTACCAGGCCAGTGTGAATTTACTAACTATTTGTTTTTATCTGCACGCGGGACAGCCTGAAATATTGGACAGCAACGCTCTCAGCCATTTAATGGAGTGTTTTACTGGCGGGATCGTGAGACCTGCTGGTCCATGAAGATCTTTGGTCACGCTGATTCGTTTAGGGAAACAATTCTCAGCCTCTTACAGCCCTCTTATCCTCAACAATTTTACCGGTCAACAGATCGGTGAATTTACAATTGATTTCGTTTCGATATGCATCGAAATTCATTCTGCGTAGTGAGATGGTTCAATGTGCTACAAACCACCTCTCTTTCATGCGGCCAACAATTGCTCTTGGGCTGCATTTTGCACGTATTATAATAGCGATATAATAAACGATATTAAGCATTCGATGACGTGTTTTGCTGTTGAACACAGTGCAGTGGTTCGGTCGCCCGGTGGCACGCGAAGTCCGGGTGTTGCTGAATGCTGGAGAATCGGTACGTGCCCGTAGGGATGTCGAAAACAGCAACAGATCGTTTGGAACGAAGTATCTGGACTGGAAGCTTGATAAATATTCTTTGCCAACATCTCTGGACAAGTACATTGAGAGTAATTAGGAGTTGCTGCAAGCTGGGTTCGGTAATACGAAGCCAATATTGTCCATGCCGGCGATTGCGTGCATAGCTCCTTTCGAAAAAGTGTCGGGACCGGAATACACTATCTGATATGGTGGATGAAATGAGAAAAAGGACTGGTGATATGTTGAAGGTGAAGCCCGGGTCAAATGGAATGCAAGTTACGCGAAAATCGGTGCCGAGTCACATCACGTGGGAAGTGTGAGTTCTTGAAATGCGATGTCCAAGGGTACAAGGCGTGAATGAATCAAGAAACCTGAGAGTGAACTAGAGCATCTATCCTTCATCGTGCCGGATGCGTGCTGTATCAACTAAGCTAGCGAGGATGCTCACCGTCCGTCACGGTTATGCACGTGAACCTCACAGCTGCCTGTCAATGTCACTAGAAAATCCCTGGTGTGGTACCCACATTTAATTGTACGTCGATTGCCCCATAAACATGGTATTTTGATTACTTGATTCAACGGAAGTCTTACAGTGGTGCATCTGTGGATTCGTCCTATAACTTTTTATTTTATTTTTAGTGGGCGGGTTAATGGTGACGCTTCCTTGTAGCTCGGGTGTGCCAAACAGGTCAAGCCCTGTCCACCCAAAGCTTTTTGGCGTTATGTTGACGACACGTTTGTTGCAATCAAACGAGGTGACGTGAACAACTTCCACCAGAAACCAGCAGACACAGGAATCGTCTTAAGCTATTCATCAGCACACCCAAAGTCCGTGTACGCCAGTATTGTCTCATCGATGTTTTGTCGAGTGAGAGCGCTGTGCACAGAAGAGATCGACCGAACGGCAGCTCAAATCGCGATTGCCAACAAATTTCAAGAAATAGGATACCCAGTGAGTTTGATTAGACGTCAACTAAGAAAGATATTGGCTACAGTATCTGGACCCAGTAAGGAATGGATTGGCACAGCAGTCATTCCATATAAAGCAGGAACATCGGAGGTTATTCGAAGATTGTTGAACTTAGCCAACATTCGAGTAGCTTTTCAGAAGGGAAAAACGCTACGTTCAGTTTTCGTGCAATTGAAAGATTCCCTGCCGGTTGAATGGACCAGGGACTGTGTGTATAAAATTAACTGCAACGATTGCGCTAAGGTTTATGTAGGACAAACTGCCAGGGAATTGCACACCAGAATCGGTGAGCATAAAAGGATTAACAAACTACCAAGGAGTGAAGAGGAATATCAAACGCTGGTCAAAGACTCAGCGATGGTGGTACACGCCTTAGACACGGGACATAGAATAGATCTGGGGAATATGGAAGTTTTAAGACGGGAACTGCGATTCACACCACGGCGGCTGATAGCCCAGGCGGTGGAAATTACTAAGCATCACAGCGTGAATAGAAGTGAGGGTGTGGAGCTAGCGAGCGTATGGAAAGCGGTCTTAGATAAGCCGAGTTGACACGCGACGGTGTGGATGTCAATCCACGTAGAATCATTAGAAAAAACCGGGGGGTGGGGATCGAAACCCCAACCGACCAAAGGTCACAGCATCCCTCTTACACAACTATCTTAGCACTAGCTCACCCACACAGACTGACAGAAGGTTCAAACGAAGTTCAAGAGGAACCATCAAATGAACCGAACCAGAAGAACTAGACCCTAGGCTGGACCCAAACACATGTAGGTTTCCCCACCGACCCAACACTTGTTCAACCACTCTAACACACTAAAATCCCTCGGCCGACACCCAACAGAGATTTAGCTTGACTTAGCTGATTGGTTCTCCTTCCGCCTTAAATCTCGATCAACCTCGGAACCTAGTCACTTGGCCTGACGAAGCTTTTGTGTCAAAAGCGAAACGTTGCCCAGCAATAAATCTAATGATTGTCACCAAACTTTTTCGAAAACGAGGTCAAGCCCTGTTACAGTACCTCCCTACAACAAGAATTATCGTGACAATCTCCACCCAGGAAATCGCCCACTAGAAGAAGGACTACAACTCTTACGAAGTATTTAGAGTGATCTCTCGTTCGACGGATACTGTATACTGACCCATATGTCTACAAAATCTGTACCGCGTTTCCTTTGTGCAAACAGCTTTTTCGGCTATTCCGATCACATAACTCACTATCAATTGCTGTTTTACTCACGAATGTTGGATGTCGCACCCAAAAGATAACCAGGGCTCTTTCGGTTACAATGATTCAAACGACGTGAAAGACACATTTCATTGATGTATCGGAAAATACTATGCTTAAATTAATGTGACTGTACGACAAAAGATCAGACGCATAGTTAGAACAGTCTTCTGACACTGAGTTTCATAGAGTCCGGTTGACTCTAGTCCTCAAGTTAGTTTGATTGGTCTTCACGCTTGTTGACCCATTTTTCAGACCAGATGCCCCTAGTCCAGTTTTGCGTTCCATCACTCTTGACTTACTTGAAAGTTCTAACAGCTTGTGACGGCCATTCCTGATTCGTTAGGTTACTTGTCTTGGTTCTCAACGACAATTGGTGATCAGCTCCCGTAAGAAGCCACCTAAATACTGCATTAGGAAACAAAACTTAGCATTTTAACCGGACGTCTCTATCGAGCCATTCAAGCTAAATCATTCCAAGGCAGGAAGCATGGAATTTACCTGATGTTTCGGACTTCATATTCTGCTTACTACCCTACTCGTGACAGCTTCAAAGTTTTATTAACACAACAGATGGGAATTCTTGCGAGTATTTGCTCGCCTTAACTGAACAACTAATCCACTGATGAATTCTTCCTAACGTGTACGACAGACACGGAGCTTAATCCGAACAACTTTCAGAATCCTGCTCAGAAATGTAGATACAGTTAGAGTAAATTCATCCATTAGTTCTGACAGGGTATGTGTTACACAAGGCATCAGCTTGCGCTAAACCTATGAAGCAGACCTTACTGATTCCCTCGTTCTGTTCTGAGCTAATGATGTACACTGAGTATTTTCCGTATTGATTAGTTGCAGGGTTCGTGTAGACCACATTCACACCACACTCGTCTGAATGGTCCTGTTCCCGTTCTGGTCCACTTACCGTGGACTCGAGTTCCACTGTTACTGGCACTTGTTAAGGGTGGATACCCTGGCGGTGTCAGTGTTTGACCCCGGATATCTGACATACGTCGAGTAAGCTAATCGCTTGAGCATTTTCACCTGTCCAGACATAAACGTTCAGTTTAGTCCAGCACGCTGGGGGACTAGTGAGAGTTCAAACCCCGACGCAGCTAAGGATATGCTGACGAGCTCTAATAAGAGCGAGACTCGAGTCCGGTTCTTTTCCCCTTTAGTGTGGACTCACCGGAATAGTTTCACCAAGGTAGGGGCAGAAATGCTGAAACGAGGCGGATACGGGTGCGCTTTTAGTGTCGCAAACGAAACCATGTAAACAAAAGTCTTACTTCCCACCAACTGTGTCCACTTGCTGTATTTTTCAAACGTACACTGATTTACTCTGATGACTGATTTTCAGTAGGCAACCTATACTACTGACAACTTCGAACAGTTTTGAAAATAGTCGTACTTGCTTATTTTCAACTGGGAAATTTTGGACTTCCACATTTCTGTTTTTATTTTCACGTTTCAACTGAAAAACACCCAGGAATTTATTGTCTGATAAGTGCTTCATAATGGATCGAATTTGCTGCGTCGCTGAATCTCAAGAAGTTGACGTGATCAGTGTGTACAAAATTCGCTACTTAACGGAAGAGGGATGACGAACCTAGTTCGAGTAACTCCGCTATATTTGTTTGTTCGTATGTGTGTTTGCTCGCTCGCTCGCTTGTTTGTTTGTTTGTTTTTCGTTTGTTTGTCGTCTTCCTCGTTGTTTTGTATCATACTTTTTCTGTGGTCCGACTCGCACGGGCAACTAATTAATATGGGCGTTTTTTCGCAAGCCACAACATCATCACTGTGACCAGTACGATGGCACTTGCCTGTCTGTGTTCGTTCTTCTGCGTAAAGGCACACCTACAGCCTACCTGTCAGTTCGCACTCCCCCCACACTGCCAGTTTCCACTTCTATTCCATGTATATGAATGCAAACAAGCAGCCAATCTACTCAGAGCTTCCGCACCTGTTTTCTGACACTAAACTGCAGTTGAGCAAACCCAAACCAGCCAAGCGATAGCGCCGACTTCCTGCCAATCAAGATCTTTGCGCCTTTCACACCAGAGTTGTTTATCTTTTGGCTTGAGAATCTGTGCAATGCCCAGGATAACGGAAAGCTCTGTTGCGCATCCATTTGCATGAATCGAAGAGAAGCCCTTGGTTATGTGTGATTTGATGACGGCTACGTTTGACTTGGATGAATGCATCATCAGATCGCAAAAAACCGCCTGCTGAATCACAAAGACACTCACGTGAATCTCGCCATCCGCACAAATATCGCACAAGACCAACAGCGAAAGTTGAACCGCATCGGATTTCAGACCATCGTGAGGCTTCAGTGCGTCGAGCGCCGGATGTGCCTCATAGGGGAGTCAAATATTTCAACTGGTATCCTGCGAGCAGTTCGACCGAGGACAATGAGGATACGTTTAATCTGGATGTGCGGTCCCCCACGGAGGGTGACATACCACAGTGGCAAGACAGTCCCTCATGTGTCAGAACAAGGGTCATTCCAGAGATATCCTCTGTACACCGTGATCTGCCTTTGCCTCCACTCGCACAACCGTGTACTGCCCAGCCGAAACCCTGCACGACAACTCTTGTAAATGAATCCAGCCATCCTGAAGAATTTTTGGTAAGTATCCTGTATTGGTCAAGCGTGGGCAAACTATATATGCCTGAAGGTTTTATCTAAGCTACACAATTAAACGTATTCTTTCGGATGTGTGAAACACTACACTAATGTCCCCATATCTTCACCAACGGGATTTTTTTTGCATTGAATCAGGGTGACTACATCTGGAGCCCAAAGTTGTGAACATTCAATCATTTTATCAGTCTGGTGATTTAAAATTTAGAGGTTGTCCGCGAAGGTTAGTTATTCAGTTCGTTTCAAAAATTGTAAACAAACGGATGAACAAGTATCACTTTGATGTAGCGTCACCTTCTGAAGCCAGAGATTCAGGCCTTGAAGGATTGTGTCTGGGAACTCACCGATTCATTTTTCATCAATGGAAACAAAAACCTTTTCTGTGAAGTGTCTCAAAGGCAGGTTGTCTTGATGTGTAGCTTGGATCCCATCACAGTCCATCGTTCTTTTTTTGCTGGAAACAGGTCCTTTGAGGTACTTTTTTCCAAAAGCCATCAGGAATTGTTCAGTTCTTTCATTTGGCCCTAGATTGTCAGATTCGCCTCCGAGGTTATGTCTACTGTTGTTCTTTACTCTCCTTGTTTTGACGTGAAATTAGACAATTCTCTGTTTGGGTGCAATTAATTCAGGTTCCAACAACCCATCAGCTTTAAGGAACCCATTCTAGGCCAGCAATTCGGAAATTCGAGATAAATTTTGAGTCTGAAACTTTTCGCCCGTTGAATCTGAAAATTTTATCTTGGTCTGCACATTCTTACACCAGCGGATGGGATGACTTTTCGAGTAATTTTGTGAACTGTAGAAGTTTGGAGCGTTTTAACTAGTGTTTTTGACTGGTGTAAACGAACGAACGGAGATTGCACAAGACCGACGAGGATACTTTTAGGTATTCGGAGCTGAATAGCTTCCGGGAGCAAAACACATGGCCAAGTAACCGCTCAGATTACAGCTCTGGACTTTTCGTCATAAGTAACATCATTTTAGAGGTAACATGGTTGCCTTACAAGCAATCATATGCAAGCCTGCAGAAATGATTCAGTGACAAAAGATTTGGCCTAGTTTGTCTTTCAAGATGACTTAAAGCGGTTCGTTCTGGTTGCTGCCAGACAACACCGTTTTCTCGCTCATAGACTGCTGTTCAAGCGCTTCCTTGAATCGATATTCTTGTGAGGCTGAGTATCTTCTGTTGAGAGCTGGTCCAAAATCCTTTGTCGCTGCATACTGGAAGTCATTCCAAAACATTTGGCAATCGAGTGACAACAGCCAAACGAAATAATGTTAGTAGACCGAAAAGTCCCACTCTGAAGGACGTCAGGAGCAATTCATTCCTAATTCGAGACGTACTTTTTCTCACTGTCCCAATCCGTTACAACTGTCCACCATTCTCGTATCCATTCTGCAGGATTCCGGCAAAATTGTATAGGTAAGGGGAGGGTGTGCTGAGCCGTGCACACTAACATGGTCAAGGGCGCCAACGAGACAAGCCTAGTTGTCTCCCTCCACTGGTGTCGGTCTGCTCATTCCGACAGTTTAAATCGCGTGCTGGCTTGAGTAGGTCTCAGTATGGTGATTGATTGATTGAGTGGATGGTGGATGGGTGGATAATATTGCTTTGAAAAAAACGGACTGAAGAATTCACAATGAGTGACGCCAGCCATCGCTTTGGTGGAAGGCTTGTTGCCTGACTGACCTAAGGCAAAACATTTTTTTAAAGGTTAATTATGCTGATCGATGGAAGAATGAGAGTAGACGAGATCCGGACTGCTCCACACTATAAAATCAGTTTGAAACGTTTGTTCGGAATGAACAGTTATCTTGATATTTCTCGATCAGTTTTGGGTTTCGCCAGTGAACTTCAAATTCTTCATCGGGACAACATAATCACCGTCTGAGCATGGATCTTCTAAATTCAGAATGATCACGTATTTTTTCAATAAGATCGCCTCTTCCCTAAAAAAAAGAACATTATTGATGCAAGACCGTACGGAAACAAGGGTCTAACATGAATTGAAACGTCCAGGTAAACATAGTGGGATTGAACAAACAGGCCTGGGGACGGACTCGAATAGGAGACCTCCCACCGATAGAACGGGAGCTGTACTGACTAGCTGCGGTGTCATTCGTAGCGCTGACAGATATCAGCCGTCAGACCAGTGGTTAGAGGCGTGGCAAATCAACCGTGAAGTTCGGCTCGTGATCCAGACCTACATTGAGTACCCTTGGTAGCTCAGTTGGCAGAATCGCTTTGCGATATCTGGCCCCGAACATCTTTTCGTTCAGTCCTATGACATCTCACCTCAAATTCCAGCTTTAGCCGAATTCACCGAGACAGTTGAAAACTTGTAAGGAATGTGACTAGTTGTCAAATGCCATACGTGACCAGAGCTTAGCCGTTTGCATAAATCCCTGACTCTCAAGCGTCCAAATCGTGCGTAGACATATCACGCGTACTACAAGCAACGATGTAAGCAGCAGAACATTTGGGAAAATGATACCAGCCTGGCAGTTCGGTATTCTTCTTTCGGACTGTGCCAAAATAAAAAAGGAAGCTAAACTGTGATCAAAACTCGTGAGCTCCTCACCTATAAAAAGTTCAGTCTTTTTTGCCTGAGACCCAGTTTGTTTGATCAACAGTAAACCTTAACTCAGTTCCGCTTGGTGTCGGCGCTAAGTTTAAAAAACGCGGACGATTATGTAGTTTGTCATTCCAATGCATCGATACGGTGATCCATGGTTGTTTTCTCTTCTCGTTACACAAACTCTTATGTCTCTGCTCAGCGACATTCGACCTAGTGGAAGACGGCCTCCCCAGCACTATGTGAACCAAATGTCAAACAGAAGAGACGGACGGTAGTAAGAGGTTAGTTTAATTCTAAGCGAATGAACAAGTGTTGGTACAGGAATATGGCACATTTCTTTCGTGGAGTTTGAAATGACTACCGTCCACAACTCAGCTGTTGCACAAAAGTACGCATAAACCATATTGTTTCAAGAAAACTACTCCGTGCCAACGCCACTTGGAAAGTACACAGGGGCCCTATTGGTGGGGAAAACTCAACAAGTTTAGACACATAAACACGACAAGTAAAACGTCACATGCGACTGATTTGCGAAATGAGAAAACTGTTTGAATTCCACTGTTGGATTTGGCATTGGGATTCTAAAAATATTAGCTTCAAGTAGAACATGAGGTTGACGGAAACCCGAGGACTGCACCTACCTGATGAGCCCCAAGAAGGGCGAAAACGGTCGTGGGCTGTCGATGGATTTTCAGCAACCTTATGAGTAGTACATTGTAGTACATTGAGTATACATGTATCGCGATATTTCAAATATCGTAGCGACTGAAACATGAGGCGGCCTGGTGCAGCACATTCAGTTGCCTGAGAACATCATAAGCGTGAGTCTTTCGAAAGAACCAAATTAGTTTACAGATGAGTGTATATTCGCTAATATTAGCTTCTCATATACATCTACACTAAATGATCAGCGACAGTTCCTGCTCGTTTCAGTGTACCGTCAGTCAGAAAATCTGTTATGTAGCTGTCACATACACCCAAGATTCTACTTCCTACATTGTGAGCTCGAAAATAGACAGGGGGTACAATTACATGAGCACAGAAAAGTTGAGGGGACCCCCGCCTGGTTTAGGGAGAATAGATGCTCACGAGCATGCCGCAGACGTCAGTGTGTTAGAGACACGCATTGAATCCAACCGGAAGAGTGAAGCATCCGAAAAGCCTCGGTGGTCTGAAGAGAACTTTTTCGTGGACGACTCAGTCCAATTTAGATTTGTGGCGGTTATTTTACTGAGTAAAGTAAGTGAACTTTTAGTAAGATGGGCTCAAACGGTGGACAGGAGACATTGACTAGAAAAGAACTAGTGTTTCATGGGTATTCGACATATCGGATTCCCACGAAATGGGTTTCTTGGTAGGTTTCGGCTGTATTATACTTTTCCTGATGGCCTTTTAAGAGATTGGGTTAAACAAAAGGCCAGAACGATGGTAGTCAAGTGGCTAGTCATCAGGCATAAACAGCTACCGGATAATTTTTGTTTGTCCTTACCAGTGCAAAGATTTAGCTGCATTTGCCTGAATTTTGATGACAGGCACCTCTTTTGTTGAGAACTTCTCTTGCGCAGTCCTTTAAAGCGATGCTAGCGACCTTGATGCGTCTGAGCGATCGACTTTGTTGTCACAATGAACCGGATACTCAAGCATTGAACTATTGAGGGTTTTAAATGAATCCTTGAACCGAGACGCTTTGATGTGTGCCGAATTCCGTTTGAAGGAACGCCTACCTATGGGTGCCAAATAAAGTAAATCACCGGTGCAATTGAACTAAGAGCCCGTCTCTTAGACGTGGAAAGATATTCTGGTCAGTTTGGGCTAACTACGTTAAGCTCAGCGAACGGAAGCTACTCACTGGAAGTGAATGAGAGTTTAAACAAACGTGCGAATGCAGATCTTTGGCGCCATACCCTCAGAGAAGATGGCTTCCTTGAAGCAGGTTTTTCGAAAGAATGGTTTCAGATTCCCGTTCCTCATCTGGTTAAACTCATCAAATAAATCCTGTAGGCAGTTTGTTTTTGCCCAGCAAAACGTCCAGCTCAGCAGATACGCTTACACAACACTAGTTACGAAATTCATAAAACCTCATCAGCGGCCTACTATTACCATTGTTGGGGACAATCAGCTAAGCGTGGTTTCCGAATTTCCATGAGTTTTGCCTCTTAGCTGAACACAACATTGCACGTAAGGGGAAGCACATATTGATGTCCAAATTGAGCTACTATTGACAGCAGACCCACTGAAGCCCTCCTTCCCTTTAAATGTAGAACGAAACGTGAATTACTGGCCGACGCACGTGACCCTTTCGTGCACACTCCGACTCAGCAATCTGTAAAATCATATCCAAGCAAAGCAACCAATTGCGTGTTGATTACGAGGTTGGCAAGATTACTGGACTAGAATGGGGGAAATCAATATAGACAGAATTTACGAGATCAGTTGTGGATGTATGGAATTTGCCAGACCGTGAGCGTATCTAGTGCTCAGTGGATAGGTCCCCCGAAGTATTTAAATGGGTCGTTTTCCAAAACTGAGACAAATTCGGTTTCCAGTGCATCCTGGTTTATGGATTATGATAGAACCAAACGACAATGTGGAAAAGTAGAGTAAATGTGGATTTCTCTTTTTCAGTCAAAGATCAGAATCAATGTGTACAAAGTGCCCGTCGTACAACAATCTACCCATTGCTCTTTATAAACGCACGATGAATCGGCTGATTTGTCCTATTTCAAATACCAGGAAAAAGTTTTTGTTTTCATCGGAATAGCAACATCGTAGTTATCGGGGAGAATTGTTGCGCCTCTACTCCATGAAAACTTCAAGAAAAGGAGTGATAACCTTATGAAGTTGATCGTGCCACCAGCACTCCATTGGCTGGTTAGCTTCCATCAGTTGAGTAAACAACAGGTATGCGTTTTGAAATTTTTCCGTCTGAATGTAGCATGATGATACCGATGGGATTAGCGCTAGTCAGTTGTATCAGTTCTGAAGATCTGACCTACCGAAAAACTATGTTTCAAAAGCATGTGGTTGCAAGCGTATGATGTCCAAAATAGTGCTTCGTTCGTTTAGAATACCTCACTGGTAGTGAACCAATCCAGTGAATGGTTTCTGAAGGAAAGAACTCACGCATAAAGGATGAGACTGACGCACTCCACTCCGTACTAGTTTGGTGAAGACGATGACCAGGATGAGTTCACATGTCACACAAGGTCGTGAACGCTCCAACACGTGAGTGAACTCAGTAACAACAGTCGAGCTACAACACTACCCTTTTGGAGCAATGTCGCCCAGACAGTTTCTCTACAATGAACATTTTCCTATCTAAGGAGGCTATTTTACAGGTATGGTCATCAATGCCCCCATCTCGGACGTACTGCATGTTGGATGGAACTCTTCCGAGTGCAGCTGGATCTTTGAAGTAGACACATATAGGGTCCAAATGAACCTCAAAATTCGAATCGAGGTGAATCCCAGAGTTCAACACAACGTAGGTGTCTGCCCCCCGACGTCCCTAAGTGATTCCAGGGATAGCATATGAGCCATCCAGCTCCAACTGGAAGGTGATATGTTGTAAGGTAAAAAGAAATCACACTGTATCGTCTGGCTCTGAGAAGACCATGATCCACAGGGGAAATGAAATGTGTGAAAGCCTCGACTCCCTTGTCGCATAACATCACATTCTCTAACAGTACTGAGATCGATATTGATTGATCCTACTGTCATGGCAACTAATTCGAAACAGGACTGTCTATTTTAGTAGTCAAAACAATTTCATTCAATGCCCAGTGACAGATAGGTAGTGAGTCTATATTTATTTTGGTAAGTCTAAAAAGTTAGGTCAAATGAATTTCGCTCATCTGACTGAGTCAAATAGGGCCAAATCAGTGAGAACTTCTACAACCTTTATCCACCTGCTAAAAGAATTAAGAGTTGGGCAACTATACATAGCTTCTCTCATCATTTCGTGATAAGGATCTGGAGCACTTTCTTCGTCATTGTGAGCAGTGAGCATCTCGTTCACATCGACAAGCGATCTGAATTTTCCCAAAAGGCCGCGTGAGGTTGATTGGAGCATGTACAACGCTCGTTTTTTATATTGTCTGATGTATGCACAGCACGTGACTGTTTGCAAAATACAGTGCGTTCCTGGGCACAGAGAAACGAATACTTATCAGGTGCTTTCTTTAATGTCCTACTATCGAGTAAAGCGAAAAGTGGCACTTGATTGAGTTTGATAGGCCAGGTTGATCATCAGTGTAATGAATACCGTTTGATCAAAATTTACACACCGTCAGCTAGCAATGTTGAAAAACTTCAGAAACGTTTGAGATCGCATGATGACTGGCCACTTCTTATCGCTCATTCGAAACTAGGAGCCTCAGATCAACGCCCGTGGAGATGGTCCTGGTACACATGGATTTTTGCCTTACATTCGAAAAAAAATTAAGTAGCGCGAAAACAGCGAATACACACTCATTTGCAAACTAATTTGGTTTTTCGAGAGACTCACCTGGAACCAAATTAATTTGCAAATGAGTTTATATTCGCTTATTTCGTGCAATTTTGTTTCAAGTAGAACATAAGGTTGACGGAAACCCGGGGACTGCGCCTACCTGATGAGCCCCAAGAAGGGCGAAACCGGTCGTAGGCTGTCGACGAATTTTCAGCAACCTTATGAGTAGTACATTACAAAGATATAGGGCGAAAACAGTTCAAACCCCCGGTTCCCAAGCTCTGCTTACAAGTCAGCAGCAGCCTGTAAAATAGAGACTTACCTTCACACGTAATCGTCATAACGAACGGATCATTTGTACTTCCACGTGGAATAACCTCTTCATTGAGGATGTTCAATTACACTGTGACTGACAGGAAAGTTCTCTTTTAGAAGAACCACTATTCCTGGATTTCAACAAGACCTGGTTTCACATGCCCTGCCCAAATAAGTCAAACGTGTACAGTTTACAGTGAACCCATGTATTTTAGCACCGCTTCATAGGTTTAACCCAGAAACTCTTCGCCCACAGAAAATCGATTGAAATCCCTTGGCAGAAGTTATAGCCATGACAACTATAATTTCACACTCATTCATTCCAGTCTACTGTGTTTCATCTTTCGTCTCTCTGCTGTCACCTGGTCGGCCCGTAATTTGTCCTATCAATCACTTCGTGTGTATTAAAGGGATGAATTTTTCAGTGGGGACAAATAAATTTTGGTTCACAATTGGGTCACAGGGATCAACAAACTGATGGTGTGCACGCAACCGTTTAGTTTATCCACTGTCTCACTCTGTCCAGACAGTCACGCCTCGCTGAAGGCGGACAAACCACGTGACCAATCAGAAGTAGGCATGTGCTGACCGGTTTAGCCAAGCTATGATACATACATGACTGCTTTTCAGGCATCAAAAAAGTGCTGACAGTTTTTTTTAAAAAAAAACCTTGTAATATGCGGAAGATTGGGAGATATCGGGGCGACATAAACGTAAAATTCAGCTGGATTCCGTTGAGTCATCTGTCCGATTCGGGTTTAGGCAGAACACAAGGTTGACGAAAAATCTGGGACTGCACCTACTTGATAAATTCCAAGAGGGGCAAAATCGATCATGGACTGTCGAAGACTTTTCAGCAACCTTATCATAAATGTGTGATAGACTAGACACAGTGCCTAGCTCACCGCAGTGCAAGGAGGAATTCAACGTCTGTTGAGAAAGGTCATGTCGATTTAGAGAATATATAATATATAATCTCGTATTGGTGATCCAATTTGAAGTATTCTACGGAAAAAAAGGAAGAAGCTACCCGCACGCAGCCCGTAGATTATAGTGACTTCACGGAGTCACTCAGTAAGGAGATTTCAACCCTACGTAATTTAATCAGACTTCGTAGTGGAATAAACAGTCTCTGATACTACAGTGAGAGACAAATCACTCTCCCTTTTTCATATCACATGGTCACATGCCCCTCAAATGATGACCTGATGACTGCTAATGATACATTGGAAGTCGGTTGGAACCCCACCAGACGTACATTGCTGATGCGGTCCTCACTGCCTAACAACTTACTTCGCTGTCTTCACACCCTGTAGCAAGCACACCAAATATTTTGAAGTCTATAATTCTCTAGTACAAGGTGGAGTTTATTCCTTTAGAGGCTGGCGCAGACCAACAGGATTCGCATTTCTATCCGAGTGAGCATTCCTCCCTAAATATCGTTTTTGGACCACAAAAGTACGTAATTTTAAATTTTGAGAAACTATACCACTCGTATATCTGGTTGTAGAATAATCAGGATAGTTGTATTGAAACGGAAGAGAGCAGCCTAAACAAAGTGCTACTGGTGAAAGGAAGAAAGCCCTTGGCCGCCAAGTCCTTCATTAGTGAACACCAACTAAGCTTCGACGCGACTACAAGCTACTCACATGCTTCATCAGTAGTATGCACCGGCACATTGGTATACGTTTAAGTACCACCTAGTTATGAACGAGTCTGTAGGATAATCAGTGTATTTTTCGTTCTTTGGAGCACAGTGGACAAAACAACTTTTGAAGCCCAAAACAATCCCCTAAAAGGGGACGACAATATCCACATGTTAAAGTTTAGTGGTTGTGATCCGGTTCTATCCACGAATTATTGGACTTTGGCCCACATTTGGTTGAAGCAGACTTGCCCAACTCACTGATTCATTAAGTGGTGTTATTACTTTCTCTGTCCCACTCTCATTCTGACAGCAACTGTTGTCTTATCTGAGGGGCTCGCGAACCGAGAAGAATATTGTCTGTAGCATGGTTGACTCTTCATCAATTTTCTTTGTCCTGAAACCGTCTGAGGGTATCTCGAATCCAATACCGTTGAATAAAGTTGTGTGACTTGAAGGTTCATCAAATTCGCGCACTTTCCACCCCTAGTAAAGGAAATCGGTTGCCCAGGTCGTAATTTTTGTCTTCCTGACCTATCCCCTCTAGGTATCAGTGACAACCTCTGATAGTCTCTATTTTTTTAGTGTAGACATTTTCGCATCATGATTCTACATTCTCAAAAAGGCTGTTAAGGCACCATCCGATTGGATTCTCGTGTGACCAACTAATGCGTCTGTGTGTGTGTGTGTGTTCATCTTTGTTGATGTCTATGGTCTGCCCCACACCAGCAGTCGGTAGATCGCTTCGCCTCCTATGCACGATCGTTCGTCGCGCCGGTTCGCTTACGTGATGCGTGCTGTGTCAAGTTGTATCGATTTTTGATACGCGCATCTCCCGTTCGATTCAGTCTGACATTTTTTGTAACTGGTACTTTGAGCACTGAGTAGCATGTTGGCCAGTCAGTGAGTACACTATCGTATCACCTGTCTGTGACATGCCCCATTCCCAAGAGGAGAATGTTCCATCTGTTCCCTACAAATTGAGTTATACGGTCTTCGGCTAGCATTCTTGAACCCGCGTTATACTGAATTTGTTGCCTCCGCTGCTGTAAGCCGTTAGCACAAACATCGTATTGGTTAATACTCTGTCATTCTGACGTTGCCAAGTCTGAACCAGCCGACTGACGGGAGGCCACACGTGTGAACACGAATGTACTTGCGGTCAGACGTACCGTCTTTGACAATGGGGCTTTAAATGGACCTATCAGCTACGACTTACTGGTCACCGTATCTCAGACGCGTACTACCTACTCCAGTTCACTGACATCCCAGAGAGTGCACACGTTCATCGATCGAATCGGCCGGAGTCACTCCCATCCATCTGATTTAGAGTTAACTTTCAAAGTCTAACTTGTTCTGAAGCAACTAGTACTAGGAATTATTTGTTGCCCGGAAAACGGAAGGTTCCATTTTAATCAAAGGATTTACAAAAAAAATCATCCCTCGCTAGGTCTTTTTTCTGTGGCGAAATGTTCATGCCCTTCGTATTGTAAAGCACCTGTCTTTTTAAATACTTTATTTTCCTTCCCTTTGTGAGCTGCCTATAAAAGCAAAGTTGTTTGTGTATCACAGATTTTTCCTTTGCGTTTCCGGAGTTAGATCTCGCCACTAGCTGGTTGTCTAGGCAACGCAGGTTTGTTGCTAGGCCACTTCTGAATGGACGCATACCGGAAAACCTCATGGCAAACTATAGCATTATCTCGCGTTCTGTCCACCAAGTAAGTATGTCACAGTGTCTCCCCATCGGTCCAGCCAACACAGATACGGTACTTTGTTTAAAAAACACCCGTCTCCGATCGATTTATCGATCGGTTTGTTGCCGGCTCGATGGCCTCACTGCAGGCTAAATGAAATCTTCACCTGTGAGTTTCAACTGCATTTTTTAACTCCAAATCTACGTGGCTTTATCCACCTCCAAGCGGTCCTCGGTTGACGCTATTATTGGCAGTGTCAAAGAACTCCCCACTCTTCCACACTTTCCGTTGCTACAATCTCTCAACGTATACAGAAGAATACGCCAAAGATGTGGCTGGAACCTAAAAACCCGGCTACATAAACATTTGCCCTTTTACTGAGGCCTGTTAGTTGGATGGACGCAATCACATGACCAATTGCTCAGAGTTTCCAACCGCTCTTTCTGGGCCACACATCCGCTGACCAGCTTGCGCAGCTGATAAATTCGATTCAAGGTTTGGCGATGTGCTTTTCAGACACGTGGTCCTGAAACAACACCCTGGATGATTGATTGATTGATTGGCCGACTGACTGATTGGTTGCTCATCTGACTTGTCTAACTGTCCGAACAGGCAAACAGCTGGTCAGAACAACAAGCAAAACTATAGAGGTATAAAAAGCTGTCTAAATCAGCCAGGAGGCGTCATGCTGAAGTAAAAAAAAATGGATGTGAATTGTAGCCCACAAAATTCAACTCTGATTACAGAATAATATTCGAAAAAGCATGTGCGGTCCTGCTACCATGGTGACGAAAGTAAAGTGAGGGGATGGAGTAGACAAATGAAGCCAGCTCGTTTTTAGCCGGGAGTGAGAGCCCAGATATGACCAGAACCAAACACAGTCAGTGAATATGTACTTGACAAAGACTGGAAGTTGACCGAGCAAGTGATCCCGACAATTAGACGTAATCAGATTCCACAGTAGCCAAAAGATATTACGCTGTACATGAGAGCTCTTGTATTTCCTCGAATCGGACAAAGTTCCAAGTGGTAGCCCGTGGTTAGGGTGCGTGCGATCCATTGCCAAGACACAACTTGTCTTCGCAAGCCCAAGTCTTGTTTATAGTGCACCCTAAGTCCTACGGGCATCATACCTGACAGTGATCGAACGTTCCATCCCGCTTTTCTGAGACCTCCGACGATGACCTTTTCGGAGAGAGACAAATACACTCACTAATTCCCTAGGTCACCACAACACGAGCCTAATAATTGATGCAAGCTGTGTTTGGTCATGAATTGACGTTCACTCATGTTTTGGGTCGATTTTGATTAGCGGACCTCAGTCCGCTGCTTTTTAGCCAGCGAGACCAATCGGGTCAAGCTCCCAGATCAGTTTTGGTTTCATCTGACGCCTGCCCTATGTGGACTCGCCATTAACATTGACAGTTCGTAAAAATATCTGTTATTTATACAACTCGTCTCTATCGACTATACACGAATAATATATTTGTGTTACTTGAATGAACTGGCAGTGAAGTAGCGAAAATTTTCCGCCGCGCTCAACCAGCTGCTTATTTCTCTCTTGAGGCAGGAACTGACGGATCATTTCAGAAATCGCGACTTCTGAACACCCAACAGAACATCTGATCTAGAGTAACAACCCGAGTAAACGACTTTAGAAAAAAGCCCACACGCCTTATCGATCGCGAACATCGTTACCAGGGTATTCACCCGATGTGCGACTGGATGCAACATACACATCCTTCAAGTCGTGCTCCGCCATTTCGTCCTAGTTGCGTTGTTATGGCAACTATCGGTTTAGAATTTCGAACGGCAGTTTGGTCAGAAGCTGAGAAAACAGCGAAAAGTAGGCACTCATTTCTCGGAACGGCAAGATCCTTATTAGGGCCTAGGTTTCGCTGCCACACGCTGAATTCGGTGCTTTGAAATTGTTATGTCTGCTGATTCGTCAATCTGTGGTATCTGCTACTGACCCGCTCCAGTGCCTAATGCCGGAGAAAAAAAGACTCACAGAAGAGAACACAACCGCTATATTCCGAACAAACGAGTGCGAGAGTAAAAGTTACAACGCTCCCACGCTATTTAAAGGGGACTTTCTGACATTGATCCAGGCTGCCTGATAGGCGTTAATGAACACCCATCAACATCGATCGTGCCTCTTTGAAAAGCCTGAACGCTGATCACATTTGATCGTGCTTCTGTGGCATGCATGAGCACTCATCGGCCTTCACTGAACTAATTGAATGATTGACTATCTCTGATGCTGGCCGGCTTGCTTTTGAGATTTTTGTGGAATTTTCGGGTCTCACTTTTGAGGAATCTGATCTTCCTGATAGAAATAGATAAGACCTTTACCCGTCACAGTAACCTCCCGGCCAATTTTTTTCTATCGTTCCTTTATGAGCATTTCATGAGGTTGCGCTAAAGTTGTTACTTAACATTCTGGCAACCGTGTTGACTTTCAGGATATTCTCTAACATGACACGAAATCGATCAGCCGTAAATAAACGGTGTTGCATGCAAATGCGAGGTTACACGCACCAGGATTCATTCAGTTCTTGGCCTGGCTCCCGAAACTCTCTCAGTTTCTAGCTGGTGGGCCGTAAACACTTTACTAAATAGAAAATTCAACCGTATTTCAGCCGAAGCTCTCATGAACATTGACTTAAAGTAGATTGCTTCTTTTCAGTTCCTTCCGAATGAAGCCGAGACGCTGGAAAAGTAATATGCTTGTCGTGTTTTTTCGTGTTAAGAAAAGGCTTCAGGCACCCATTATACGTTGTATAAACAATGGAACAGTCACTTGAACCTCACCAGCCGTGCCACGGCGTCAACGGAATACGGGAGTTTTGCGTGAATCTCTTGTTGAGCAAAGCCCCGGCAAAATTCACAAAGGAACTTACAGATTTCTACGCGAATGATCTTAGGACCTTTTCGTGATAGTGTGAGGAGATTTGGGGGTTTTCAATGTGAACTTCGTACTGCAAGTGAAGCCGACCCTTGCCGAAAAGCCAAGAAGCTGTTTCATCCTTACAGTGAGCATCTCCAGAGGGGCTTCGCATCTTTGACTGCTAGCTAGCAGTTGAACACGAAACCCTTCGGCCACCAAGGCTGATCAGCTGTGTGATTAACTCGCATTTGGACAGGATATAGCGCCAATCATCCTTCAGTCACAAAATTTACTTTTCATGGTCACGTGTTGACTTCCATTGAGGACTTTTCAGCAACTCCTTCTTCTGAGTTACTAAAAGTTCGCCTGTAATATTTTGAAATTTTAATGTGAATTTCGTCTTATAGTTGAGTTCCTTCTCAAAAAGGAATGTCTTCACCGTAGGAACAGAACGGCACGATGGTTTTGATCATAGATAGGTGAGGCTTCCTAAAAACACCTGTCAACTGGTGGTTGTGCTCAAACCAGTAGACCAACAGAATCATCAGTCTTCGATTGCGCCAGCTCGTTTTCAAAAGTGCCATCTTAGAGCACCGTAATCACAACTGGATTTGAGTCTTTGTCATATTTGGTCATCACGTGGCCCAGCTCAACTCATTTACACGCTGTTGAGACACATTACGCACTGCATCTCACAGGATACCTATTCGAGGATTTCGTCTGCGACTCCCCCTGGAGGCCTGTCAAAGGCACTGGAAGGCTTGATCGCTCTTCTCAGTATGACCGAAGAAGCTTGAATTTTCAAAGATGTTCCAGAGAATCAATATTTGGTTTGTGTTACCAGGCGGGTTGAGAAAGGCAAAAACACAGAGAGGTATTTGTATCGGACGCTTAAGGTACAAAACAAACATATAATTTCATACTGCTACTGATGAGGTCCCACTTTCCCATTCTCCCACCTACTGTCCTAAAAATGACTTGAATATGACCTTCAGCAAGGCAGTACAGTTAGATATTGCAAGGTCGTAAACAGAATTTCTCGTTGACATTCCGAGTTATTGGTCGAAATGCAAGGTCTGATAGCCCGCATTTCACAATGGTTGATGGCCCACGTTCTTGTTTCATGTGAAAAATTTTCACGTCAGCCCCATCGTAGATTGAATGGTGCCCTTAAAAAACATGTTCTGGTTATCTTTGTAATGTACTACTCATAAGCTGAATCTCTGGGTTCCAGGTGAGTCTCTCGAGAAAAACCAAATTAGTTTGCAAATGAGTGCATATTCGCTAACATGTTCTGGTTAGTTATATTGCTCTACAGAACACCGCTTTTTTGACAGTTGCATGGCTGGTTAGCGCGGAGTCCAAACCACTGTGTTGTCACTTTGGAACACGTGATCACAACCCAGTGACCACTGGGAAGACACCATTGTCTCACAACAATGTGACACCTGTGTGTGGTTGGACGCCGCAATGCCAATCAATCAAGTTTTTCTTTATAGATCTTTGTGCAGCATAGTTGTCAGCCGCCCTTGACAGCTGATGTATCGAGTCTCACGTATGATGTTTGATGCTCGAATATGCGCGGTTATTGTACCCAGACCAGTTTTGCGCCAGAGACATTTGGGTCACCACATTCCTTTATTTAATGCCGGAGCAGTGTTCTTCAGGCACTCAGGCCGCACGCCAAAATAAAGAAGAGGCATAACAGGTAAGAAGATCTTAGCAAAACGCCAGGGGTAGGAGAACCTGTTGTTGTTTCGGTTTTTTGGCGCAATAAACTGGAGCTAACAAATACAGCCCGGCCTACATGGAATCTCTCTGTACAACTGCGATGTCGGACGCTACGAAATCCCTTGATGAACGATTAATCTAGCTTCCTTGAGAGAATTCCTCTCTGCAGACAAGTTGCTTGCTTCGAATCTGATGTACCTTAAAAGCTTAAGATCATGTGAAACCTTCCATGAATACTTTTTCAGAAAATCGTTGATCAGCTGAAGCTGTTTCTTAATGTCAGTGGAATTCAACGTGTCCCATATTTATATAATCTCGGTCAGAATCTGTTAGTGTTGTTTTAAACGATTTCTTTGGTTTCCTAATGGGATCGGTATCCTCTGTTCCCACAGTTTGAGTTTTTTTGTTATCGTCCTATTTTTCCGATCAAAACTCCCGGCGAATTCGCACATTTTTATGATTGCGTGAGTCGTTCGATGTCTCAATCTAAACTAGGCGTCACCTGGTAAGAAAACGTATGAGTGCTTCGCCCGACATACAGGTAAATATTCCAATCTTCACGTCTTTAGTGGCTTATTTCGCGACACCACCGAGTGGACACTTAAGTCTCTAGGTGGGGTCACTTAGCTGACGACACGGAGCCCGGAGTCACGCGTTGGTTCAGCGATCCGGATGGACTGGGCTCGAAAGTCTACGACCCTATTTACACACAAGCGAACAAAGGGATACTACAAAACCTAACTGTCCGCACCCGTGGGGGCAACAGCAGGTGAACAAGTCTATCGCTAGCCGGCACATCGCGGCGCCAGTTCCAAAACCAGGCACTGGTGCACGGACTGGTGACTCGGCGGTGTGGGCTGGGGTCGTCGCTCTCGGGACCAGTCCCGTAGTTCCGGTTGGTGGCGCGACCACAGAGTAGTCAGGCTGGACCAGTCACGGTAGCCCGGTCAGAATGAGCACAAACGTGAATGACTGGTAGGTCCATTGACACCTACGCACGTACACATACACATGCAAGCAGGCAGGCCGGTGTCTGGCCTGATGACGACTGTATCAACGAGAATGGCAAGGTCGTAACGGAGAGAAACAGGTGAAAATCAATAGGTACGCAGGCAACCTGCGCAGGTGAATGGGGATTCTCAAGTGGGGTATCTCACATGAACGCCGGCCGTAGAATGGCAAGCTTGGACTATGTGGTTGTTGGCAGGGTCCCCAATATCCTGCAAAGATAAGCTGCATTCTGTTCTTCGACGTCAGCATTTGGCTTATAGACAGGCCAAGGAAAGTAATAGGTGCGTGGTGAATAACACCAGAGATTGCGTTTGGGAGGTGAAATTTCAGCCTGACGATATTCATCGCAGTGTGTGAGTAATAACAACAAATATACTGTTGCATCCAAAACACTTTTCAGCCCAGGTAAACAAGCTATAAGGGTTTCGAGTGTCTTACAGACCATCTGAATCACTTATGGCTGCCACGTGGCCTTTCTGAGTTGTAGCTTTTCAGAGTTATTTTTTGGTAAGAAGTCAAACTGACGGCTTTCCTTGCCGCATCGGATCACGCCTGTTTTCGAAGTGGGACATTCCTGTAGAAATCTAACAGGTAAAGCTAACTCTGACCTGTATATTCGATCGTCATTTTGCTACCTGAGGCATTTGCTAGCGGTTGTCTCGCTCCAATACAGTAAGCCTTCCTGGAACAGATTACTTTTAGAAAAGATAAGCCATCGATACAAGTTGCGCAAACATTGCTCCCCAACAATGAGCCTCACGACCATCCCTAAACCCCAGAGCTGTGCCACCCTCATGAGAAGTTAGATGCCGATTCCATCGTGGTCGACAACTCTTAAACAATTTCTGTAGATACGCACTTTTCACTCATCTTTCACCAGGATGTCCAGTTACTGTGGGCCTGTTTGTGAGAGCCACGACGAATCAATTTTTGTCCACGCCATGGCAGTAGAACCATGAATGTGTTACTTATTTATCCCTTTATTTAGCTGTCAATGTTCTTCATAGCCGGATACCAGGAATCGGTTTCTATCCAGCCATGAAATGGGATGACAGTGTGTAATGCTGAATTGATACTTGGATGACAGAAAGGCTTCGAAGCCTTGCCATAATTTTAGTGTAGGGTGAAACAGTTACTTGGCTGGGTACCAGTTGGGGCAGTCTGGCAGGTTTTGCATATTTATCCAGCAATACCTGGCTAATAGCTGCGCACTTTTAAAGACCAAAAAAGAACCTTCAAAAAAGATGTCCACTTCTAACAGAGACCGCAAAATTTACTCACCAACCGAAAGCAAACGCGAGAGAACAAAATAGGAGAAAGATGATCCCATCAAACCATCCGTCTGAATAATTATCTTAAGAATGAATCAACGTCAGAACTCTAAATGGTTTCATTATCTATGTAGCTGGCGACAAAAAGAATTCCGTTTACGAAGACCGCGGGAATGAAGTCATTCAAGTAGCTGTGACCCCCTCTTGCTCAACGGTACCAACGCCTAACAGCGACCCGGTTAGTAGCGGGACCTAATAACGGGACTGGTAAACAAACCTGCAGGGAATGGCCTTGGTCAGGAAGATTTGTTCTAATGAAAAATTAGGGCGGATCCCACGGATCGACAGATCACGGATGAATCAGTTCCCTGTCAGACAGGCACTTGGATTGGAAACGATCCTAGATCTACACATATTCACGGATCGCGCTTAGCTGTAGGTTACCTACAAAGAATCAGATAGCTTCTGGATTGTGTTTGTCTTTCCATTTCGTAAACCATCCATTAAACATAGCTGAAGTTGAGCCCGCTGATAGGCGTGTAGAACCGGTTGACGGAGTGCAGCTTGATGTTACTGAGCTTGGTGCAATCTGGACTTCTTAGCGCGGACCATTCAGTAAGCCTATTATGTACCCCAGGTGCTTCAGACTCTCTCCTGTAGGTTGCTCTTCACAGTACTCGCAAACAACACCAAAGGTATGCGCTTAATTTTTGGTGTCGAGTAATCGAATAACCATGAATGTGAACTCTCGCAAACACACCAAAGGTATGCGCTTAATTGGTGTCGAGTAATTGGTGTCGAGTAATCGAATAACCATGAATGTGAACTTTGTTCGAGTTTTGGGGCCGTGTGTGCAAACCCGTGTGCATAAAATATAACCAATAATTAGACAGCCACAATATTTTTGATTTCTGCATGAATCTATTGCAAGAGATTTACTAAAGTAGTATGCGTGCCTCCTTGCCGTTTTATCTGGCTGGAACGCCAACAAAACACAAATTCTTTCGCGAAGAACAGACGTTAGATACGTAGTTTAGGTGATGAACGAAAGCTCATTAGGCTAAATACGCTTAGTTGCAAAATAATCTGGTTTTTCAAGAAAATTCAATTGAGTCCAGCTGAATCTCTTGTTTATGAAGTTCGACTCCAGCTGAATGTGCTTCCCAAGGCCACCTCATCTTCCTGTTGGCACGATAGTTGAGCACCCCAGCATACATTGTCCAGAAGGAACACGCTACTCATAAGGTTGCTAGAAACTTAGCGACAGCCCATGATTGGTTTGGCCCCGTAGTCGAGCTTATAAAAAAAAACCATTCACCCTGGTTTTCACCAGTCATATGCTTTACTTAACCTTTGATGAGCTTCGAACCCAATCTTGGATTGTCGAAGAGTTTTAAAAAGAATTCTAAAGAAGGCTGTTTTGTTCTTAAGCAAGATGTTATGCGCAGCTGATTAGCTCTAATAAGAGTGAAACTCGGGTCCAGTGCTTCTCTCCCTTTAGTGTGAACTCACCAGAATAATTGCGTCAGAAAACGAAGAGGATCGTTCAAACGAGAGTCGTGTGAGTAGGTATTCCAAGAAATCGGTATCGCTTTATTAGTTGTGGATTCTATCTGAGGCAAACTCTACATTGTCCATTTCAAAGATGTCCTGGACGTTCAATCACGTGAAAAACACTTGAAATCGATTGGGTAGTCATCGTTTTCGAAAGTTTGGTGACAGTCGGTAGATTTATTGCTGGAGGCTGGGTCGCTTTTTGACACAAAGGCGAACGAACCGAACCAGAAGAACTAGACCCTAGGCTGGGTTCAAACATATGTAGGTTTCCCACCGACACAACACTTGTTCAACCACTCTAACACACTAAAATACCTCGGCCGACACCCAACAGAGATTTAGCTTGACTTAGCTGATTGGTTCTCCTTCCGCCTTAAATCTCGATCAATCTCGGAACCTAGTCACTTGGCCTGACGAAGCTTTTGTGTCAAAAGCGAAACGTTGCCCAGCAATAAATCTATCGATTGTCACCAAACTTTTTCGAAAACGATGTCCTGGACGTATTTGCATTCATTAAGTCAGTATTTCCTCTGGGCTCTCTGTTTTGACGTTTGCATACGTAAAAAACGATTCTTCGTTAGACTTTAACTTCTTGCAGACTTTTTGTGCCTATTCACATGCCACCCTAAAAGAGGTTGAAACAGCTTAGCCGTTAAAGCACGAGAAGGCCCCACAAAGCGCCCGTGGTTCGAACCCCACTATGTTATTGCGACTGCGCCTGTCTAGCTACAAGTATGCTGACACTATAACAGCCCTTGTGCTTCGAGAAATACACTAATTTGCAAATCAATTTGGTTTTCACGAGAGAGACTCAACTGAATCTCTCGTTTATGATATTCTACAGCTGAATGTGCTGCACACAGGCCGCCTCATGCCCTCGTGCTTCCTGGGGATTGCATCACACGGGTGTGTGGCTGACAAACTTGCACGTCACTCATTCTGTTCCTGCAATAGCCAACCTTTCGGTAGACCACATGCAATTTGCGGACACGATGACTTGAAATTCCTTGCCAGTTGTAAAAGCACTTACCGGTTTGTAAGAAATTACCTTGCGATATAAAAAAACAGAACCAGAAGCAGAGGGAGTCGTTGTGGCCAAGGTAAAATAGAAATTCGTTTTACCATAAAAACTCCAACTGCTATCAGTATTGTTATCGAATTGAATTGGGCAGGATGAAAGTTGCGGAAGGGTTTTGCCGGTTTTGAGCGTCACCAAATCAGCCAGTTTGTGCACAACATAAAGTTGCCTTATTGACTACCCTAGGCATTCCGATAGAACATCTATTCTGGCTAATCGGAGATTACAAGTTATCTATCCCCAAGGCAATCATAAAAACCCGCCGTATTTGCTGTCCCTTCTGTTGTCTTGAGAGAGAAAAAACAACAAATTTTTGCAAACTAATTTCCCCGGCTCCGTGGGATCGTAAAAAAGGACTGCAATGCAACTCAAAGCAAGTTCAACTACATGAAATAATCGGTTAAGTCATTCACTTTGTTAGTATTTTTGACAACACAACCCTTCATCTTTATTCCTTACGCCCCCTGGGAATATTTTGGTCTACTGTCACCTTTTGCGGTGTAGTGCCACGACACGGCGTATACCGGTAAGAAACCCGGAGCGCTCTGTGCTCAGTCATTCATGTGGCCTCATTGCTAGACCCGAATGACCAAGAACCAGTTCTATGAAGATAAAACCGAACGAATGAAGAGGTGAATGAAAACGGTTTGTCTGTTTATACGTACAGAACTTCTGAGGGCACATACGGTCTTTGTGGAACGAGTATTGGACCTCATTCTGATAAGCACGTGTTTGAGACAGGTCTCTCATGGAAGGGATGACGAAATAAACAGAAAAAGATTTCATCTTGGCTTGGAAACTTTTTTCGGCTCGCGAATAGCAGCTTGGAAACTTTTTTCGGCTCGCGAATAGCAAGACTACGTGAGCGATAGTTTCGTTCCCGAATCCTCTCTCCCAAATCGTTGGTGTGGCGACAGATATACCGAGATAAGCATGAGATATATCTCAGGCACACGTATGAGATGGCTGTCCGAACACGACACAAGTGTTGCCAGTTCGAGTTTTGCAACTCAGAATAGTTCTTTCGAACGGGCAAACGTATTCAGGTTAGTCTGTACGTCAGTATTCTACCTGTCGTGCCGTAACTTTGAATTATTCTGATAAGAACATGTAAATCCGCTGTCGCCGGAGGCTCATTTATTGATCCACAAGGTGAACGCGCCTGTTCGCGTAAGATGAAAAAAATACAAGGCCTGGCAGTTAGAACATAATTAGTGAAATATCTCTTTGAAGTGAAATGAATTCACCGAACATGCGGAAGGGGGGAAATCAATCACAACGTATTCCCCCGCTGTTTCATGGTACGTTCCAATCAACGGCTTCAAACGATACGTCGCTTTTCCAGGGACACGACACACCCTACTAGAGCTGACCAGATAAAATGCTGAAGTCCCCTTTACAAGAATGTCTGCACTAATTTGCCTCTTGAATGTACACGCACGAGTTAGTGATGGTGGCGTTTGGGAATCCCGTTCAGATTTCACATTTGGAAGACTATACCGCTAAACTCAGTATGGCGAGTAAGCACGGACCGCCGACTCCGTAACAGCGGTCTACCAAACTGTTGAGGCCCCCGGGGAATACCCTAGCCTTGCGCGTAGTACACTGACAGTTTGGATCCCAGTTCCATGTTGACCGAGCCGTCTCACGCGCTTGTTTGTTCAGCCCACCGCACCGTCAAAGCCATCTTTACGTTTGGTTTTAAAGCGCGGCCAGTGATAAATTATTAATTAAACTCACTGTCTGTGTAGACCACAAGAAACCGCACTTGCAAACGTGACCTTTGAACGTTGGTTTCACAGTCTCCCCGCTACATTGTTTGATCAAATCTCTCAGTTTATGGGCGGTAGACGATCACCGGTTTTATTGAAGTTGTAAGCGCAGTAGAATTACAACTCACTCAAAAGCAAGCATGTATCGAAATGAGAAGGGCACCTTATGTCGGAGAGAAGCAAACAGACTCAAATGGACTTTTCGTACGAGGTAATCTCTTGGTATAACTGATTGCCTACAGTTGTGCCATGTTGTACGTATTTTTTTAACACTGCGGCTTGTTGTCTGATAAATCATTTAGTCTACTTAAAAGGAAGCAACAAGTAGATAGGCTTTGTGACCACTATCCTGCGTCTGGCTGTTGGTGTCCCTTTCCTCTCTGCAGTGAGCAGTCGTTTTGTTCTAGTTTGTCGGTTAAATTTCCCAACTGATAATCAGTACCATCCATACTACTCGTCAGGCTCCTGGAAATCCAGCCTGCGACCAGTTCCGCCCTTCTTGGGGCTCATCAGGTGGACGCAGTTCCCAAGTTTCCCTTTGATCTTATGTCCTAGTTTTCGCTGTTCTTTATAGATTGTCATCTTGATTTTGCATCCTATCTCGAATACAAATGAGAGAATTGTATGCGAAAAATAACTGAAAGCCAGTCCGTGGTAGTTCCATGGATATCTGATGCCAATACTCCTTGTCTGGTTTTCGGAAATGGGTGGTGTCCGAACACAACCATGATGGCAGAAGAGTCAAATGACTTGTGCGAACCAACAATGATTGCGCGGATTCGGGCTCAGCTCAGGCAGCAAATATTCGCCTGATTTATTGATTTTTGGACTTTTGTATCAACCGTAAACCCTTACAAGTTTTTGTCCTTCCGAATGGCATCATTTTTTGCTGTCATCAGGGCAAACGAATGGTCAAAGGAATCACTAGCTTGTTTCTATGAGGAGGTCAGATCCTGCCCTTTAGGTAGGAAGTCAGATCTTGCCTTTCGTGCATTTGGCTCAATATCGACGTTACTTAGCTTAGCTAGGTGGGTGTCGTAATGGTCGGTGGGTGGCCGAATCAAAGTGGTTAATCTTGAGACCAGGAGTCCGATGATGGCATTGTCCTATGTGGTTTCTGGTTGTGCTGAACCCATTTCAAGTGGCAGAAGCACTGGATTCGAGTTCCGCTCTTATCGGAGCTACTCAGTGGTGTGTGCCGTGTCGTGGTGTAAATTCCGGAAATCTAGGTTGAGAGGCGAGCGTATTACCACTATTCAACCAGGGCGTGCTTGACGCACCTGGATCATCATGTCTGAACGGGCGAACGTCTTCACGCTTTCATCTCAAGCGCCCTTGGCCCTGACAGGTGGGTCGACACAGCAAGGACGGTTCGGCGTGAACTTTTCAGAACATTTCCACTAGGACAAAAGGAAGATCATTCAACCGATAGTGATGTGAACGTGATTTTTCTCATGTCACCGACAGTCTTTCTGAATCAAATCATCAATCCTGCAGTGTTCATCAGGCCCGCAACTAAACAGTGGAACAAGGGCCGTCAATGGCATGCTTACTTAGGGGCAATTCAGATAGGATATGATGAGATTTGGCTTTAGCCTTGTTCTCAGGAGGAAAGTGAAAGAAGATCTCCATCATCATGTTGATTCAGCGCTGTACAGACTTCCTGTGAACCTCGGCTGTCTGGTACTGCTTGGGTCCTGCTCGTGAATCCAGAATGAGCTTCGATGCCGACTGTTGGTTGTGCATTACTGTTTGGTTATAGGCGGCTAACCTAACTTGTCTGCAGTCAGAGAGTAACGCCACTCGTGCTTCAGCACGACAGATCTATTTCAAGAAAAATAACCAAGGCAGAACGTTTTCCGTATCCAACTTTCCATGAAAATACAACCAGTCAATAGTTCCATTCATCAGTGGTGCAGTTCCAATTCTCTGATTTCAATGTCTTTCTCGACAAAATTAGACGAGCATCGAGGTGACTTTTTGCTTGCCTTGAGAAGAAAGGTTCTCCTTCGAACTTAGAAATCGTAAACTTGGTTTATCTGCATCGGATATTTTACTTCCTCTGTGTACTTGTTCAGTAACTAAATAAAAAAACTGTGAACTAACAAATGAGTACAATTCCAGGCAAAGTTTATCCGCGATTTTATCATTCCACAATATCTCAAGAACGTGAGAATCCAGTCGGTGAAACTCTGACCCTATTCATTCAGTTTGTCAGATTGTCCGACCAGGTCGCTCTTCCTAAAGGGAAAAACACGTAAAACAAGAATGTTCGTAACACAATGACAACGCAACATTAAAATGAACAATGTTTTACACGCAAGCTGACACTTGTACCCTACTCTCTGGTTGCATTTTAATCGATCAAGTCAGGTGACCAACAGTCTATGACCTGGTGTCTTCCTTTGGAACGTGCATGAGTTATACTCTGGTTCGGTCACGTGGTGTTTCGGCACCGAATAACTACGCTGTCGGTTTACTCAACTCTCATATTTGAATAATGACACTTACAGAGCCTGAAGTTAGCATTTTTTCGCGGCCCAGCAATAGGATCTGGCCACATTAATCGGTACTCAAGTTTTGTTATGAGTGTTTTCGATTTACGCTTGCTTTATTGTTTCGAAGTCATGCAGAATTAGGATGTGATTACAAGATTGGATTTCTCATTAGATGTAATTGTTCCCAAAAAATCTAGCTCAACTAACGATCAAGAAATTGGATTTATCGTTTATCTTCCCTTCGGATGTTTCCCCGAGGGCGTGATTTTGAAACAGAAGTTAATTTCGCAAATTATATAACATATTACGTAACCCACAGGGTTTAGGAACGATTAGAAAAATATCGTTTCAGCCTTTCCAATTGAAAACTCGTAAAGTCAAGCTACTTCGCCTCTTCCAGAGAGGGCACCTGTCAGGCAAAGCGATGTTCTGTCCTCAAGATGATTTTTGTGTCCCTCTCGATTGTTCCAGGTTTCAGATGCGTCACCAAGGTATTTACCAAAAGGAGACAGAAAAATGGTTAGTCAGTATGGGTAAAATATTTGACAAATCCGTCAAAAAGAGTTTAGATGCTGCCGACAGCGTATTGTGGTAGATAGCCGAGTGCTTTTCCGATAAGGTTGGCAAACTTTTTGGATGTGTTTTGTGGACCGTTGAACCTTTGAATAAGTTCCTACAACTCAATGACAGTGTACATTACATACAATTTCTCTGGGGCTAGTCAGATAACAGAACAAAAGAGCTGAGTAAATTTTTGACTGTCCGGCGTTGATGGCTTTAGCGAACACTCACGACTCAGGTGTGTCCAGAGCTCATCTCGCGTGTAACTGATTGCGTGACGACAGTCCCGAGATTCCAGAAACCATCACGTAACCAACAGAACAAAACAAATCGACCACAATTACACCAAAATCTTTTCGGAAGAGTTGATAAAACGTGTGCGAGGTTCCAGCGAGCCATAATATAAAGAGAGAACAATACACTAGCGTACTTTCATGTAATCCTGAAGTGGTTTTCACATACGAGTTCCACTTCTGCATCCAAACTATCAAAGATGATCAAGGTCTCAAGGTCACGAAGACAGCACAACGTAGATCAACTCCTTGGAGCAAGTCCTTTGGGTTGGATGCTGGCATATCACAGTTTCCTTTCTGTTCTGACACCCGATTTTATACTAATGTTGGTACAAGCTACTCGAATAGGTGATTAGTCAACTGTCTTGCTAAAGTCAGAGCCATTTCATATGGGATCAAATCGGTGGAATAGATAGAAAGTTAGACAACAAGACAGGCTTGGTTATTCTGTGATTTCCATCTGAGATTTCCTCCTGGAATGGAAACGAATTTATGCTGAAAAGTCGCAAGGTAGTCGAACAGTCAACCGTTCAGTGGTGTTACTAGCTTCCACTTAGATAGAATACAGCGGTTTTCTTCTGAAAATCCATACCTGAATACTCCACTCTATTTTGCACAAAACACTTCACGTTTACGTGGACACGAGGCTCTGTGCAAAGCTGTAGAGTTTCAGAGGAACAGCGCTCCAAGTGAATAGGTCCTGGACTCTGGAATTGTTTACCCCCGAAGTAACCTATCAGTCCTGTCAGAGCTTCAGACTTACCTCAACGGAATCGACAGGTACCGGCGTGATATCATCAATGGTACGACGACGCCAGGTCATGGATGATATTCCGAGGAAGGATAGAAACGTCCTATTTGTAGCAAAGAGAATAAACTCAGGCAAAACAACGAAGTGTGGTGAATTCACCAAGCGCAAACTAACAAGAATGAAAGAGGGAACTAGTCAGCCTTTCAACAGACTACTGCAATATCCATGTTATTGTTGGACTAATAACCGAGTGGTTGATTTTTTGCACTTATAGGAACTCCGGTTAGGTCCAACACTGATAAAGCAGGTTAGAAATAAGCTCGTAGAAATACAACAGACGCAAGAGGTTCCTTGTATGCTGAAATATCGACTCATCAGAAGCCTATAAGAGTGACATACTAGGACATCAGCGTGAGGGAGCTCACTCAGTGATGCTTCACATCATACGGCAAAGCCCACTGGTATAAAGACCCTTTGTTTAAATCGGTAAATTCACTTTGGGGACGGCTTCAGAAACTCAAGAATGCCACTTCCGCAAAATCCGGTCTGCTTGGGACTCATGCAGTTGCCTCGCCTTTCACGTAGAATTGGTCATTCTCTATTAAGTTTCTGTCGTCTTGGTGAGACTGCAACTATCCAATAAGTACCGAAGAGCTGTCCAGAGCTTACGGAATCTCAGCTGTTGCTGAATCGACCATTTGTGTTCCAGGTTCAAAAAGTGTGTTTCAAGATTGGCTTTATCCTGTGTCCAGGACGAATTTAGTGTAGGAACTGATGAAAATCGTGCACCAGACCAAAACACTGGACCTAACGAGCGCAATCAACTGAATGCTTCATTTCCTGACAAACGAATTTGACTCTTTCGTCCTCCAATGAATATTTTTAACCCTGGGACTTCGGCCCGGGTTCAGTTTGTAGTACAATTCGTGTCCAACCCATTTATCGACTTCAAAACTGTGTCATGTTCGGCGCCTGCAAGAAGAGTACTTTTGACTTTCGAGAAATACACTCATTTGCAAATCAATTTGGTTTTCACGAGAGAGACTCAACTGAACCTCTCGTTTATGATATTCTACAACTGAATGTGCTGCACACAGGCTGCCTCATGATTCACTTGGCACGATATTATAGATATCACGAGATATCTCGTGAAAACCAAACTGATTTGCAAATGAAAACAGTCGAAAACAGTCCAATTTAGGTTCAAGTAGAACATAAGGTTGACAGAAACTCGGGGACTGCGCCTACCTGATGAGCCCCAAGAAAGGCGGAACCGGTCGCGAGCTGTCGAAGAGTTTTCAGCAACCTTGTGAGTAGTTTCCTTTATGAAAATACATTTGACTTTCTCAATTTGATGCTTCGCCTTTGTTTGTTGGAAGGTAGAAACCCTAACCCTCAGACTCACACGTGCGCTTATTGTGCTCTCTTTGTCGCATGCCACTACTCACGGACCGGATGTGGATTGTTGCACATTTGTTGTCACAGTAACCTGTGCATTCCGGACGTGAAAAATGAGCTCAGCTGAAGCTGGTGAGATTGTCTGAGCTTGGCGGCATGGCAACCAGTGGACACATAGATCAAAGAGGTGCAAAACAGATACTTTTCTTTCACTTTTCTAATCAAATTGGCCTGTCTATCGAATGATTAATTATCAGCGGGTAGTAGTCATACTGCGCATCAGACGGGTTCATTGACCAACTGGACGCCCCATAAATTCAATTCGATTTTGACATTCTTGTCAATTTGTGTAAAGTCTAGTCTATATTGATCCCATGGTTAGTTTTTTCCCATCAATAGAACCTCATGCATTGCTGGACATTGCGACAACCGCAAACGGTTCACTGTTCCAAGGTTGTCTGGATTCAGTGAACTTCTCTTCCAGCAGCCCGTACAGCCTTGGATGGCACAAGCTTGCTGTCGCGCGGACACTGTCCCGAGGGATGGTGCAGTCCACTCGCCGAAATGAAACGTCGCTGGCGGTTGTTGAGATGGCTGGATTCGATGCATATTCAACTGTGCAATTTCAACCGATGCTTTGGCAGTTTTGTCGTTCATTTGTCGTGTGGCGTTAAGTTTCCCGGTCAAATCGTACGTGAATCTCGAAAGTTATACTGGATCCCACCTCTGTCACTTAATTCAACGTGGGATGTCAGGAAGTTAGCGGCATCCGACGTTCTCGAGGATGTAGTGGGGGCACACGCCGGTTGATGCACGACAGAGAACCTCGTATAGATTCACTGCTGAACATTCTTTGTCGTTCGCCAGGTACTAATTTCCCCCAAGAAAATAACAACTGCCGTTGATGTACTGATTGCACTGTCCCTCCTCTGGTGCTTTCAGGTTTTCTGCAAGAAATACCTCCATTTGCCCTTGAACTTCAATTTTTGCACGCGCAAGATCACAGACATCTTGATATTTCAGTTCGTTAATCGGCTGAGTCAATAGCTATTCGCTGGCCGTGTAGTAGGTGAATCATTCATGAGATTCTTTTGTAAAATCGCGGATGTACGGAACACAAAATCCGCGAAATGATATTGTCCAATGTTTCACCAGGATATTGGTTCAGTTGATGAAACTCGTATTTGCTTACATAAATGCTCAGCCACACAGCCCATTGTTTATCGAATAGTGTCAAGGCTTTCTGTGGGATAGAACTTTTGCCGAGGCTCAGGGCATCAGACACCTATCTGTACTCAGATGAAGACGTGACATTTCCAAACTTCGTTTTTCAGTAAGTTTGGAAAGCTGGTAGGATTGGAATGCAGTCAGTAAACATTACTTTCCAGACATCCCTGCTGCCGGCTGAAGGGCTGGATCCATTCAGAACAGATCCCGAACGCACAACACGGCGAGGGAACAGACTACTTACTAGCGGATCAGAGTAAATATAGGCCGGAGAGTGAGCCACGAGTGGAGAAAACCCGCTCAGTGGTGAGTCTGTGCTCACATCCTCCCAGGCACATTATCTGGGTAACAGTGACGCAAGTGGAAAGGGAAGTATGAATGGAAATAAAAATGAGGATACAATGGCATCAACATTCTAGTCAAAATATATTGCACCTACGATGGATTGTTTTCATCTTTACCGCTTAAGCTTCGCCTCGCTCAAAACCAAAATGACTTTGCTCCATCGGTTGGTGAACAAAGTTTTTTCGTGCTCCAACAAGCATGGACGCGCCCAGGACCCCTCCCTGCCCATTCTCATTTAGGCGTGGCGACAGTCTGATTTGAAATGCAATTTGAGTAAACCTTGTTAATTCTGTTGTAGCAGTTTGACTGATACATGTATACGTATATATTTTATGTGGGCATGTGTAGACAGATAGGAGAGAGTGAAACCAAAAATCGTCTGGGATGTCTATCACCACTGGCATCTTTTACCTCCTGTTCTAGGCCGCATTCTCCATAGAGCACGCGTCTTTATGAGAGCAGTAAAGTGTGGTACCTTGGCAGTTTTTAGAATGAAAGGGAGAGGGGTAATCGCTTGGTTACAGTGCGGTCGGTAGAAACAGGGAAGGATTGAAAGGGCATGTCATCTAAGGCGAGCTGAAAGTCACTTTCTATCCATGTACGCTTGTATTCTTACACTGAATCCGACGAACCACAGAACGTGGGAACTCCATTGATGCGATGAAGCTGGGATGCTAAAGTTTACACAACCCGGGAACCTGTGGTAAGTTGATGTCCATCTGACCACGTTGGTAACTTGGATGACGCGACGGTCGTCGGGTAACATCGTCTTCTCTCTGATTCCGAACTCAGATATGCATATGCTTATCCGAACACCTATAGTGGCTAGTAACGTGACTAGCCCCCCCTCTACCAGTCATCCGTTAACCAGAAGATTGAGACCCGGTAACTTTTGGGCTTTAATTGATGACAGAGTTAATTCTTTGGTATTTTCGAAAGCATAGTCTTTTGGAGCTGAGGAAGGCTACGAGTGAGGCTGAGCTGTTTGATACGGGGCTTTCCTTGAATGATTTCTTATCTGTGTATTTCTCACCAAGATGTTGATGCACAGGACTAAATCAGAAATGCGCCTGCTGCGTGGTGCATCACAGCCTCTTTGAAGGCAGAATGTTCGTCCCAACAAATTTATATTTAGTCGCCGGAAAAATGTACAAACTTTGTGGAAAATTCTAGGGATTCTATTCGGGTTAACTAAACATTCTACTTGGTTTCTTGTGGTAACTGAATTTTGTTAAAAATGAAGATGAATTTCGCTTGGTGTTTCACGGAAAACCTCACGACTTAATCAGTGGCCTGAATGCTATTCATCAATATTAATTTTGGTTTCTTTTCTGATATGTTCTCATTTTGTCGTCCGAATTTACGCTATGTTCAAATTCAACCTGGTACTGGTACAACTGACCGCCTAATCTAAAATCGATATCGACTGGCTATAGAAACTCAAAATATCTGGCAAACCCCTTTTCAAAAATCACATCAGAATGCTTGATATTCAAGAGTTAGCTTGCACCTCTTGTAAAAGCAACCTTGAACTTACCTAGCTTATGTAGTACAAATCTTACTCAACTACCCAAGTGGATTTCAGTGCGATTGTGCACGAGAGAGCTACCTTGAATTGGGAAGTCACTTAGCTGTACTGTGTTCATACATTTGGTTACCAGTACTTCTGTCACGATACAGTAAGTTCTCAACGGAAGAATTCGTAGGGCAGTCCCAGGTGATAATGTAGTTGCTTGCGTGTCGAAAAGGCTTCAGCTGCATTGCCCGATAATCATTCCCAGTTGTTGCCTGTCTGAAGAGATGATGCAAGTGATCCACAGAAGTTTAGAATAGACGTCTTTTGAGATGAACTTGCATAACTCTCCTGATTGAGGGTGGGGCTACTATATGCAGTGTATACCCCAAATTGACGAAGTCAGAATGGCATCCACTGGCATTTTCCATAATCCTATTTGTGGTTAGGGCTTTGAAAGTAGTTGTTCAGTAGCTGGTGGGCAGTGTTCAGGCTACTCGGTAGCCCATCGCGCTTCCGCATACCCTACTGCAGTTGTTCAAGAGTGAGTGCACGTGCTATGACCACATTATTGAGATGACTACACCATGCTACTCTTCAAACTTGGGGAAATTCAAGATTAGATGAATTATATTCATCCCGTTCGCATTCTTCTCCCTTCTCCTTAAGCGAACCATCAAGTTGATAAAATCCAACGTTACGATACGATCAATACATGAATACCGAGAACTATGTATGGCCTGAAACACCTTTTCAGGAGTGTAACTACCGAAACAGCCTCTCAGGCTGAACACGGAATTGACCTGCATTAAACACAGGCTATTCTAAGAAATAACGTGGTAAAGGACGAGTTTTGGTTGTCTGGCTGCCTGACATGCAGGTGAGGTGACAGTGTAGACGAGAGATGAAATGAGGAGGGATCAACTATCCGCATGAATAACTTATGTTAAGATGTGGCATGTCTGAGTAGATGGGTCTGGCTAACGGATATGTTCGCCCGATTAATTTTTACCCGCACCCACGATGGGCGAAATGCTAACTCGGGAGCGTGAGGGAAAGCAGACACCCACAGACACCCTAATTTGAACACGTTTTCTTCGGGGGATTCGTTCGTGCTGCAACAGTGAAAATTTTTCCTGTTGGTTTTCCAACGCGAAAATTGACAGTTTCTGCGTAGAACATCAGGGGAGAAACGCACAAGGCCTATAGACTGCGAAACAATATTGGAACACTACTGGCTACAGAACGAACTGCAAAAGACGACTCTGTGCCTACCGGAACCCCCAACAAAGACACTACTCCTTATTGAGAAGAACACAGTTGTTGGCGAAATGCAAAATATCTATCCCCACCAAACTACTAATTTGTATGAAATAAGAGCGTTTTATTTTCGTAATCTGAGTTTTCTTAACTTGGGCGCGTTGAAGAACTGAGTACACTATAAATGTAAGTTGGTATAGGCATTCTCAACAAGATCGTTAAAAAATCGTTCAGCTGTAGAACGCTTTCGGTGCCTGACTGCCATGCCACCCAGAGGAAGCACAAGGGCTGGAGTACTACCAGGTTGCCTGAGCCTAGACAGGGGAAATCGAGAGCCAGAGGGTCGGGTTCGACCACGGACCTTCTGGACAGTAAATTAGCACTGAGCCATCTCTCAGATGATCGTTCTGTTTACTTACAGGCCGCTACTGCCATGAATGAAACTAGGCCCTGTCTTACCATTCACCATTATTCTTTACAGCTTATATGATCGGAATTTTTCCTCCTGTCTGTCAGTTCTTCTTCAGCTATATTTTGAATGTTTTTTTCAATAACAGCGTGCAGATTTCGGATTCGTCAAACAGGGTGACAAGTATACCATACCTGTTTGCGTCTCCGGCAAAAGCTGTTGTAGAGAAATACTGTGATCTGGCTGAAAACGTCTCTTCTTATAAACGCTAGGATGGGAATTGAAGTCCTTGGACTTCACCACCCCAATCTTTTCACAAAAAAACATTGGCGGGATGCCTGAAACATGGTACTGTACAAAGCTGAGCATGTTCTAACTACGACCAGTTCCGTTAGATCAATCCTATCCGACGCCACAAGGCAAGTGCTTCGCGGCAACCAGATCGAGCAAGTAGCCTGTTTCGAATCGGTTAGTAGACTCATCGCATTCCAATGGAAGGATGGATATATTTGTGCGTATACCGACTTCAGAATGTTAAACAGGTATCTGATGTTTGATAGGTCACAACTACTAAGATGTCCGGAGCCAGAATAATAATAACAATAATTCATCGACGTAATACACTACTCATAAGGTTGTTGAAAACTCTTTGACAGCCCACAACAGGCTTCACTCCTATTACGGCTCATCAGGTGGGCACAGTTCCCGAGTATCCATCGACCTTATGCTTTGCTTGAACCCAATTAGCACAAAATTTGACTTTTGACGGGAGACCTCTCGTAAGTGACGTCCCAAGTTAGGCTCCCGTTGAAACCAAACTGGCATGCAGATGAGTGTACAAGTCGAGGATGTCGTGTCTTCATTTGAACTCATCCAACTTATTTCTGTTCACTCTTCCCGTCCCACATGCGTCACTGTTACACAGTTGGTGTGCCTGGGCGGTTCTGACCACCCAATGCCCTGATTGGCTTGAAAATGAGTGTACTTCGCTAATTTCGTGCGATTTCGGTTCAGGTAGAATGTGAGGTTGACGGAAACTCGTAGAATGCGCCTACTTGATGAGCCTCAAGAAGGGCAAAACTGATCGTGGGCTGTCGAAGAGTTTTCAGCGACCTTATGAGTAGTGTTTTACGTCTACTTAACGGCCTTTTCTAGCCGTACCGCTCTCCGTTTATATCAGAACTATCAGCCTAGTAATACCCACACAACAGAAGATAGTATACGGGATCGAAGATGAATCGTTCTTCTTGACGAACTCCTTGGCAAGAATCTCTCTCTGACCGGAGTATACGGCTGAGTGGAACACTAGCGAATGCTTTATTGTCATTATAAGTATCGTTAACGTTGAAAGCACTTTGCTTAAAATCAAAATCGCCCCTGCTGAAAGGCCGAACAGTACTTCGCAGTTGTTTTTTGGAACGTGAGACAGCCCATCGGTTAGGACGCAAGGCCAATGAATGGACGTTCCATAGGGCAAACTTGACTAGGAAGCTTGTGACTGTGTCCGCCCTCGTGCTTCCTTTGAGTCGTGTAGAAACTATACATCGAAAGGGTTTCCCAGCTGAACGCATGCCTCATCGACGATTGATTTCATAAACAGTGAGTTCGAAATGACTTTACCCCGTAGGTTTTCGGATAGGTTTGATACTGCGCCATCAAGCCATGTGCTGGACGGGGAAGCGTGATCAACTTGCGCTTGGTAGGATGCAAAGCAAGCATCCACCCAGTTATTTAGTTGTGTCACGTGCCCTCCATCCCGATCAAACTCTCGTCGGGTGTTTGTTTGATGTCCTTAGATTTTATACCCACATTCTACTTGCGCATGACCAACTATGTCTGGTTATCGTCAAAAAAGCATCCGCTGAACTTCCAGCTGCTGTTCCTATCATGATTTGGGGTCAAAGTCATAGCTTTGGAACTTAAGTAGTTGGCTTCAACTCTGGAACACTTACTCCGAGTTGACTCCAATGCGCCAAGGAAGAGCGTCCCTGTGCCTTCTTTATGAAAATAACTCATTTGAACTTAAATTGACGGAGCGTTTTTAAATGATTTTAGTCCTCTGACAGCGTCTCCTAAATCGATTCTGACTCCATCTGTTTCGCAGTTCCAACTATCTTTTTTTCTGCCTTTTGAAAATAATCCCAAATCGCTGTCATTCATGGTTTGTGTGACGCCAGGTGTGACTCGGAAATCCTGCGCGCTAAATACCCTAGCGTCCACATTCACAGCATAATAAATGAACAGTATAAAATGCTATATATTCTCATGCCAAGAAAGCATATGTGAAAGGGAGGTGAAAGAAATCTTGACCTTGAAGTCACGTGTGTTCACGTAATGTCGACAACAGAATATAGAACACGATAATAGATGGAGTAAGTAGGAAATCCTTAAACAATAGACGAGCCATTTTTATGCTATTCTGCATCAGCTGTATGTGGTGAGGACACTCGGCCCAAGCACATTGCCAAGGACAACAAACTGGAATGGAAACGGAAGTTAATTGGGAAATGTTGAGGTCAACAGTTTATCAAGATCAATTCCACTTCGATTATGGAGCCCTCCGTTTTAGCCCAACGGTTTTGTAGTGCTCTGCGCATGCACACGCAACAGCATACTTAGATTTTCAAATTTGAAATGTAGTTGAGTTTTGAACTGACTTGAACTGAAAGTGTAGTTTGTTGTCTCCTTCCCCGTCTCTCTCTCCATCTCTGTCGCTCACTTTACCTGTATAACACTGACGAAATTATCATTCCCAGGGGATTAGGATGTACCACGTCTTCATTACTAAGAAATGACACCAGGCCTCCTGGGAAATTTCCAAGAATAGTAATGCGAGTGCAGTCGATCATCCTTGTTATTGTATTGTTCTGTTGGGTACTGGTGTAACGGTGATACTACTGATGGGGGCATGCGAGTAGCATGTTTTCTCGTAAATCCGCTTTGTGTGAGATCTATTACGGAGTTTGTGGAGTCACTCTGTAGCGTTTGCTTGCAACTGGGTGACAGTCAATGAATATCCGGGAAAGTTCAGGAAGGAGCGTTCAAGGAGAAGATGTATATTCAGTGTTGTAAACAAGATGTCCAATAGTCTGTGACTGTTCAGTTGGCATTTTCAGTAAATAACTCCGCAACGAAGGCCTTCACCCCCTTCACTGGTAGAACCGACAGACAGGTTTCGTGCTTCTCTCCCTTTCACTCTGCTACAGCATGAAAGCAACGCATCCTAGCAGTTGTTCGTTGGAAGCTTCTAAACTGTTGTGTAATGTCTTTGAACATTATCCATGATTCGGCTAGCGAGTTGACGGCCAGCTAATATTCGTATGGTCTCTTCATCCCAAGGGAGCATCAATTCAAGTGAACAAAAGTCTCATGCGCCCTGGCACTGATTTCCAGCATAGGAGTGGCGTCAAACGATTGAAAAAGTATTGACATATAAGGATATTGGAAAAGAGAAAACTAATCAACCAATAAGCCACAATTGTAGACGAAGTGTAACGTGAGTTCCGTTAAAGACATCAGGAAGTATGAAGGTAAGTTTTACTATGGGAAGCTTACAACTGGCCATTGATCCAATCTCTGAGGTTAGTGATTAGTCTGCAAGCGCTTCGACACCATTGGAGCAGACATCATGAGCGCACACTGATGATGGGCTCCTCTCAAATGGACAAGAAACGTTTTCGAACAGATTGCCATATTCGGTGAATACATCAACAGTTTGCGGTTGGTTTGTTCGCTGAGCTGGGCAGTTTGGTTGCAACGGTTTCACCACCAATCGGGGTGACATCATCAGTGCGTTGTTGGGGGTTGTAGCGGGGCGTAGTGATGGGCCAGTCGTTGTGCTTTGAGTAGCGGTGTGTGTGTCACTACAGGTGCTGCTAACCGGGGCTGACCTTCGATCTTTCCAGGTGGGTGATACCCGTCGTGTGTCTGTGGTCCTGATCAACATCCACCTAATGAACGGCAGTCAAATGGATTCGAGTCATCAGTATGTCGAGACACTGAAATTGAGCTGCGCTCTACAAGTAGACGAGGCTTTGAACGGACTGGAATAAAGTAGACGCTGAAAAGGAGTTCTAACCAGCATCGTTGTGTTTGCTGACCGGGAACTAAACTAAAACAGGTCTTAGAATTCAGTCGTGTCAGAACATGTGCTTCAGAGACCTTGTAATAACCCAGTGGTCCTTCTGAAAGATTCCGACCTGTATCGAAGTGGAAATCGCATCCGGTTGGGAGGTCATAAGCCCCATGAAATGATCTCATGGCACAGACAGTGGTCTCAGCCTGCGTGCGTGAAAGGCTTACTGCTGAACTTTGTTGAATAGTGCTTCAGTATAATCGGAGGTGGTGGGAAGCAAAACATTGTTGACATGCTAAGTAACACCAAATGTCCTGGATTCAAAGTCTTCCATCCTAATGACACACCTTCGCTACAGAAACGCTTCCTTCGGGTGAGTAACAGAAAATAAAAAGCAGTTTACAACGACCATAGGGTGAACGTATATATACGAAGGGACGCAAAAATATGCGTAATGTTTGCTGAGTATCACATGGGGTGGGGTTGTTCCAGATTCGGTTTGGACATAAGATATGCATCTAACTTGTTCTTGAAAATGGTTAAACTCGGCGAATGTACAACTTTGGGAGGTAGGGAGTTCCAAATGAAACATACACGGACCGCAAAAAAGTTCCGTCGAAAGTTCACCCTCGAGTGAGGTACCGCGAGCGAAAAGTCATGCCTCCTGCCCGTTCGTGGTCGACGTCGGACAAAAAGGTCTTCCAGCGGATGATTAGGTGTTTTCAGTATATTATATGTTAGAATTAGGTCTCCCCTGATGCGCCGATAGTAGAAGTCGAATAGGTTGAGACTGGCAATCCTGTCTTCGTATGGTTTATTTTGCAATCCAATTACCAGCTTCGTGGCTCGATGATATATTCGCTGTAGAAGAATTATGTCTTTTTGAAGCCATGGTGACCAAGCTTGTATAGCGTATTCCATGGTTGGTCGGATGTAGGTATTGATTACTCGGGGCAGTGCCAGTCGAGTGAAACGACCAAAAATCCGTTTTAGGAGCGACAGGACTTGTGAGGTCCTCTTGTAGACGGCTGTGCATTGCAAGGAGTTTTTTAAACAGCTGCTGACCCACACGCCAAGATCTTTTTCTTCACTAGTCCAAGAAAGTGGTTGTGGACCCAACGTATAGTTATATGCAAAGGGCTTCCCTACACGGAGCATTTTACATTTTTGGAGGTTAAACGGTAGTCTGTTTTTCAGTGACCAATCATAAAGTGTATCGAGATCTTTTTGTAATCGGTGACAGTCTTCAATGGTGCGTATGCTTGACCATATCTTGATATCGTCTGCGAATAAAGTGATTTTACTGCTCACGAGCTCAGGTATATCGTTTACGTATAATAAAAATAAAGTAGGCCCAAGAACAGAGCCTTGGGGTACTCCACTTGTAGCTGCAATTGGCTTGGACAGAGCGCCGTCAACACATACACGCGCGTCTCGGTCAGCCAAATAGATTTCAAGCCAAGCCAGCAGCTTTCCCGTAATACCATAATGCTCGAGTTTTTGCAACAATATGTTATGGTTCACGCGATCAAATGCCTTGGAGATGTCTAGATAGCATGCGTGAACGGGATTTCCATTGTCCACAGCTTGCGTCCAGTCGTCTAAGGTAATGAGGAGATTGGACAGACAGGATCTGTTTTTTCTGAAACCATGCTGGGCAGCCGAAAGCAATCCGTTTTCCTCTAAGTGTTTAATGATTTTGTTTGCCACCAGTCGCTCAAGCACTTTGGAGATCACCGGCAACAGAGTCACCGGCCGGTAGTTTGACACGACCGAACGATTACCTCCTTTGTATATGGGAGTGATAACGCCCTTCTTCCAGTCGTTGGGAACCACACCGTTATTTAGGGACGAATTGAATAACTCAGCGAGAGGTGTGCATAGGGAATGAGCACACTGCTTGAGGATAAATGGTGTTATCTGATCGGCACCGGGAGATTTTCTGTGATTTAGTTCAAGTAACGTTCGGAGTACACATTTTGGAGTCACAATTACTTCATGTAGGGAGGTGGGCGGTGAGGGAGACATAAACGACATCCGGCTTATATATTCCTTCTGACAGTAAACAGTGGAATAGAACTCCGCCAGTTCTTCAGCTGCAGCTGACGCAGTGGCCGTCAGTCCATTAGGGGTATGCAGAGGTGAAATACCCGGTTTCACAGACGCCTTATTATTAATGATCCAATAGAGAAGCTTCGGATTTTTTTCCATTTTCTCTAAAAGCATTAGCTGGTAATCCTTTTTGTCGCTCACGACCAGCGTGTTGACTTTATTTCTTAGTAACCGATATTTTTCCCATGTTGTTGTTGTTCGGTGACGTCGGTATTCAGCCCAGGCTGCATTTCGCTCCAGAATCCATTTTCGGGTTCTGCTTCGTAACTTAAAATCGAATCCCATCTGAGTATTCTTTGGAACGAAGTGGGAATGCAAACGTATTTTATTGACCAAGTTCCCCATGAAGCTAGACCATTGCTGGTGGACGTCTGGACCTTCTGAATACCAGTCCGTACAATGACTCAGGGTATTCGACAGTGCTTTCGTGTTCACTTTCCTGATCATTTTAAGCTCATCATTAGGTCTCACCGCCGAACAAACATAATCAAAAATGAGAACGACGTGATCACTCGATCCTAATGGACTTTCATATGCGATGTTTTCCACAACGTTCTCTTCGCTTGTTATGATGAGGTCCAGAATGGAAGGTATATCTGATCCTCTATACCGCGTGTTGCATGATATATGATTGTGAAAGTCAAGATCATGTAACGTCTCCTGGAAGGCACAATCGAGGGAATTTATCGGATGTTGTTGAGTCCGTAGCAAGTTTGGGAGATTGAAATCCCCCATAATTAGTATCTTACTTTTATACCGGGAAGCCACGAGGCGCAGCTTCTCCATTATGGTGTAAGTGTGCAGTTCCTCCGCTGAAGGTGGTCGATAGATACCACCAACAACACAGTCGTTTCCTGCTACCGTCTTTATCGAGCACCACAAGGTATCCGATAGCATAAAATCTTCATCAGTTAGCTCTTTGCACAATAGTTGCCTGCTATGGTAAATAGCTACACCACCTTCCCGAGAAATGGGATCCCGACGATCCCGATTCCAGGGATGGCAAGTTCGCTATTCGATATACTGCGATATCTCGAATATCGTACCAACTGAAACATGAGGCGGCCTGTATGCAGCACATTCAATTGCGGGACATCATAAAACCACAAGTGTAGCAAAATTATCGGTGATTGGATGAGATCAACTAATTGAAAATGTGAGTATAGTTAGGCAATCCTCTTAGCTATCAAAATCGTTCTGTTCAAGCGAACCTATCAGATAGGCCGAACGATAACCCATCTTGAGAGCCTAAAGCAACTTGCACAAACGTGTAAGTCGGTGCTTGCTAATTCAGTGTTTTTAGAAGGAATACCCATATTCACATGCATATCTGAGACCGGGAGTCAAACTGAGTTGATCCTGGCTCTGTGAACTGTAGTGACCCTAGTACATCTAGTACATCTGGGGAACGTCAGTTAAGACAAAACCAACATCCTTGCACCCCCGATTTCCAATACTATTTGTCACGTGTCTGGTCCAAGCACACACGGTTCCGAAAACTACTTACTCACGTGGATGTTCGTCCGAAAAAACCTATAAGTTGTCTGGCCATTCGATCGTTATAAACATTATTGTGTTTTGATTAACATCATAGAGAGCCAGTCGCTCCTCGATGTCCGGACGAACGTTCTGGTACTGTTTGATTGTTGAAAAGAATACATTTATCTAAATAATTGGCTGATAAAATTCAGTGTGTTTTCTGGGACACTTGTTCAGTCAACAACCCTGTTTTCACGGTGTTAAATAAGCCAGTGATTGAAGCAACCGTGATGTCTTATTGTCTCGACTTCGATCGAAGTGGACGCAACACAAAATCATTCACGACTTGATTTGTCCTTTATTTCGTCAAGTTTGGAACAAATCGGTTCGCTAATTCGGCAGCTACCGTGTCTAAGTCGAGGGTAAATGAACTGAGAAAAAAATACAAGAATCGAACGTTTATCAAAGGCTGATTCGCTGGTTGTCGTGACTCGTGGGATGAAAACAAGCCATTATGTATCCGAACTCGTTTATTTTGTCACTTCACCTAGATGTGGAACTCGATGAGTGTGTTAACATACACATGGCATAGGAAAAGTCATGGGAGGTTTCGAAAGGCATCTAGTGATGCAGATTTTTTGTTCACGTGAAGTCCATTGAACCTGAATTTCGGTTTTAAGGTAAAATAACTGTTACCCGTTCATCTGAGTACAATCGTGTAGCTAAGGGGGACAGATTCACTCCCATTGGATTGCTTTGAACCAAAAATTAGTTGGAAGATCCGTACGTGTAACTCGCAAGACATACCACCATATGCGTAAACGTGGTTTGAAATCCACGTTTAGATGCACTGTTCTAGACTGCTAGCACATCAAAGTGTGAAGAGTGTGAAAACCTTTTCATAAAGGAGACTACTCACAAGGTTGCTGAAAACTCTTCGGCAGTCCGCGACTGGTTTCGCCCCTCTTGGGGCTCATCACTCCCCGAGTTTTCGTCAACCTCATGTTCTACTTGAACTTTGCAAACCTCTTCCTCCTGACAAAGACTTCTATTCTTGTCTGACAGGGGATGAGATGTGCAGAGTTATCGCCCTGAATGGTGCAGCATTGCAGTTTGAACGAGAAGGACCTGTCAGTATGTGAAAGACGCCTTTCATTCTATCAACGTTATGACGTGGTCTGCGATGTTACTGAGCGGCATACTGGCAATAATGTTGACGTAACTATTTTCAGCGATAATTTCTGAGATCTGGTCTTGGCGACGAAGTTTCAGCTATTATCGAGGTGCTAGATCACCTCAGTTCAGGTTGGAATTATCTTAGCTACCTGGATGCAACCGTGTTCCCATCTTGCATGAACTACAGCCTCTATTTCTGACATATTTTAAAGTCAGCACTACGTTGGAATATTGGTAACTGGGTGGGGGCGTCTAGTGGTTGTTGATCAGTGAACTGTCGATTCGTTCGCCGAGCCTGGGAAGTAGCTTGCAGTGGTCTGTTTACCAAGCTGATCAGCAGCCAGAACACTAACCCGAGAGACCAAAATTTCCACCCAATGCTGACAACTTCAGGCGTGCTATCCTGGAACCACCCCGGCCCGACAACAGCCTTCCGCTCCTGATGAATGATGGCGAAAAAGCGTCCCCTCTCATCGGCAGCCAGGTTTGGACAATGGTTGGGCAAAATGGTAGACAGATGACCGGACTCATCGTTGCAGACACGCACAATCGCATCAGGAGATACGAGAGAATAGCCAGTGAACATAGAAAAACCTGATTGAGGACAAAATACCAGAACTTTTGGGTCGTTGAGATAAAACAAATGCTTAATATCTACCGCGAAAAACAGAGAAGCTCATCTGAAAAGCAAATTTTCCTGAGTGATAGGAAACTAGTGGGACGAAAGTCGTCGCAACAAGGTTTGGAGGGAGAATTTCTCCAGCGGGCAACTCAGAGAGGTGGGACAAAACGTCTCCACTGAAGGACACAACTTCAACTTCAAAGACGTCACAAACCTGGAGCAGTTTGCCAGTCAAGAGGTGGCGATGAAATCTACCTATCAGTCTTAGTGAGAACGCTGAACACCGACTTAGTGCGACCGACATTCCGGCAGTGGCATGTAACACGACAGTCAAAATCTTTTCGGGAAGCACTGACAAACTTATCAGGAATGGAAGCTTTGTCAGTTAGTTAGCTGGTAAAGGACGCCCAACAGTGGTCATGGGTGGAGCTGACTACGTCAGTGAAGCAAACGTTCCACTCGGAGAAAAAAACTACATATCAGAACAAAACTACAGCAAAAAATTGGAGAGAAACATCAGAAAGAACTTGGAAAAGTTTGGGAATCTCCGAAAGATCACCAAGGAAGAATATCTGGGAATGAGAGCTTTTGAACGTACCACGCCCAGCTTCTGCGGATTCCGAGAAGTGCACAAAGAGACAATCCTTCTCCGATTCCCTGAGACACCACCTTACAATCTTTCGAAACAACTGTTGAAAAATTGAAACATCCTATCGATGGATCTCAACATGCAATCAATCACGCAGGACAATTTTTCTGGAGAAATTGAAGGCTATAAGCATCGACCAGGATGAAGTAACGGTCTCACTGTTCACACTCGAAACTCTCGACTCTGTCGAGACGAATGTGGCCGATTTGTCGGATAACCGCGGCGTATCGAATGAGTCGCCGGAAAAAAACTTCTGTCAGTTACTCAACTCAAATTATATTTGATCACGTACCTTGATCTCAATAGAGACTACTGCGAACAATTGTTGGGACTTTAAATAAGGTCGCCAATTTGAGGATTTATCGCAAAAATCGCAATGCAAAATCTGGAACAAGTTGTACTGCCGGATGTAAATGCTAACCTGTGGATCCGCTTCGCGAACGACACTTTTAGCGTCATCATTGTCATCAAAAAGACTGAAATGCAGTGGGCAGGCCGACTGTTGAGCAACATTAGTTACCACATCCAGTTCCACAAACTTCAACCACTTCTGACTGTAATTCTACTATTGATTCTAACATTTTCGTGACAATCTCACTTGTCGGAGTTCTCCTATTTGTTTCGCTACTGCCGTAACCCCCGAGCGAAGGATCACAGCATTTCGTGCGACAAATATGGACCGCAGTCCTAATGTATTGTTGATCAAAACAGGGTGAAGTTCCAACCAACATTGAATGATTCCCAAACTGACTGAAATTTACAAAACTATCCATTTAAAAGACTTTCGTCCTTGTAAGGAATCATCAGTACCGTGCTATAGTGTTCAACGTGTGTGACCGAAAGCTATAGTCAGTAACCAAACCAACCCTGTGGACTTTGCGGGTACAAGTCTTTATAAGATTAGACATCTGTGCACTACTGATGATCCCAGCAAAGATAAAACACATATAATGTTCTTCTCGTCTTTTCAACAGGCACTGACGCCACTTTCAGGATTACCACTCTGTGGAAGTTTCAAAGTATGTTCACACTACTAACAAATTAGAATGGCGCTTTTTGGTGGAAATAATCAATGCGCATGTTATGCAAACGTTTGAAACATGGCACCGGGCATGCTCACTTTCAAAGAGCAAATCTGCTTGGTATTCGCTCGTGGCGAGAGGAATAAATGTATTGTCGCGTTACTTATGACTAGTTGAATAGGAACCTTTGTCTTAAACTACAATCAACCCACCGGAAGGGCCATCATCATCATCATCATCAACATCATCATCAAAGACAGTAACATCAATGTTGGCACTGATGCTTCACTGCCGTAATGTGGCATGAGAGTATTGTTGGTCGTGAATGTCATGGTTGTACGAGGGCTGGGATACTGCCATGGTGCCCATACCGAGACAGAAGACGATTAAGGTACTCAACCGAAGCCTTTGGCTCAAAAGCCTAACCACAAGGCAGCGGTGTTTGGCGGAAAATGCAAATGCATTACCATTTCTACGGAACAAGTCGCCACATGTTCCAACCCTCAACCTGGAGGGCCAGGAGACTGTGTTCGTCAGACCTCCAACCATTGACCAACCTGGTATGAGAGACTTTGTGAGTGTCACGGGGACACTCTCCAGTATAGCTCAATGGGTCGCTGATGTACACAAACCGCCACACCACGGTAAGGTTCAGTCTCTTCGTGACGGCGCCGGTCCAGGCAAACTAACTTTCAAATCTTGCACCTAACCGCATTTAGCCACATGATGAAGATTTGGACGGGGCAATTCTCTGGATATGATGACCAAATGTTTTACGAGAAAATCCACTTGGAGTTTGCTAACCCCCACCCCGCTTAATGTTCAGTGCAGATAGAAGCATGTTAGTCTGTTTTGATGGGAAAATTCCAGTTTGAAGAAGGGTATTCGGGTAATATAACTGATAACAGCCTAACGTAGCCACTTAGTGGCTACCTGTGACAGGATGAATGCCGTTCGCTGCGGAGTTTCTTCTCGAAAAATGTCAACTAAACAGTTACAAACTATTGTTTTTAAAAAACTGATTATCCGTCTTCTTCTTGAACGTGTCTCCTTAAACTTTCCCGGATATTCATTGACTATCGGGCAAGGGTAAACGAATAATGCAAAGCAGTTCCACAAATTTCGTTATAAACCCCACCTTACTTTCGACGCAAAGCGGAGTTACGGGTAAGCCACACACTACTTGCATGCCTCGTCAGTAGTATTTGCCTTTGCACCAGTAGCCCCAATGGTTTAGTCTTCATGAACATGAGTTACTGGTTCTATCAAACACACAAGTACTGCTCAGTCCAATTTCAGGTTAGTGGCTTCCAACCGCATTCATCAATTTATTTACCCACTGACAATTTAAGTTGTTTCCCACTGATGCTCATCATCCTTTGTGGTGTATGGTCACATGATGTGTCCTTGTGTATAACTTCCTGGCAAATCTGTTGCGCCCTTGTGGAGTCACAGTGTGCGGCCTCATGAGGTAGAGCTGTAGGAAACCTGACAGAATGGGTCACTTCCGTTTAACCAGAGAAGTCCTGACTTCGGATTCCCATCACTCTCTTGTGAATTGTCCCCTCCTGTCCTGGTGCAATTATTTCGGTGAGCCAAAGAGGGGAAACACTGGATTCTGACTTGTTTTTTGGTTGACAGTGGCAACCAGATGTATAAGTGTGAGTCGGTCAAGCTCTACTCACCCTGTTGAAACACGGTGCATTGGGGAGTGTTGTTTTTGTTTCCGATTTCCGGAAGTAAACCCCTTCTATATGGTTGGAAGCCTGTTCCGTTGAATTATCTGCTGGGTATATGAATTCGTTCCCTATACACCATCAAGGACATATTCTGTCATGTGGGCCTGTTCAGTTACATTATGGGTTACGATTCTGTGGCAGAGCCTGAAACCTAGAGGTGCAAGAACACAAAAGATGAGTTTACTGAATTTTGAGCTCATATAAACATTGTGTCGTCGTGGTATTACCTTTCGAGCATTCCAATCCAAAAAGTAAGGGTACAATAAATCACAGATTACGCATGAAGTAAATTGAATAAAAATCTGAAGGATGGTGAAAAGCCTACTTATTTGAAATAAGCATTCATCCGAGAGGATGGGTGCCCGAAGAAACATCGTTGAACAACAGATTGGCATAAAATGTTCGTATTAGGTGCGTCAAGCATACAAAAATTAAAAAATCTTCTGAATCCTCATCGATGAAGCAACTTTTTACGATATTTCCCTTCGAAGACCGGCCATTATAGAGGGTCGCCAAGACGGAAGCCCGAAATTTTATTCATCGGACTACGTTGGCCAAGTGTGGAGTTTTGATATTCTTGTGTCATGCGCAAAACAACAGTCTTGTATGAAAGAACTGAATGAACTTCCGGCTAAAAGGTTGGCATGAGTTTTTACAGTTTAAAGATTTGTCAGTCAGTATGGGTTGGACATTGATTTTTCCATGGCTGATCATTCTAAACTACTCTTAACCTCCTAAACTACTCACACTATTAGCCAGAGATGAATGGATCCTTCTCAACACAAAGTGAACTATTGAGAGAATGTATTGAGTGATGCAGCCAGACGTAACCAAACTGGGTCACTTGGCAGTCAATAAACTAAACGGAGTAATAATACACTACTCATCAGGTTGCCGAAAACCCCTCGACAGCTCAGGACCGGTCACGCCCGTCTCAGGTCTCAGCATCGTAAACAATAGATTCAGCTGGGCTCCGGGTGAGTCTCCTATCAAAACCAAATTGGTGTACAAATGAGCGCTAAACGGGCTGATGTTTTTTCCCGTCGTTCCAAAGTAAGACGTAGAATTTTCTCAGTCTATACAGATAAAACTATGCCACAAGACGAGGATAGAATTAGGGTTGGCTTCATCATTCTCAAATTTTCGGGCGATTTTGGTCAATTTGTAAAACACTGTGGAGCGAGCATATGCAGCAGCCTGCCGATGACCAGGCACCAAAATTTGGTGGGGTCAGTGAATGGTCGATCCGTATAGGACCCCGTAAATCACAATAAGTTCCGAGGCAATCCACCTCCCATCGCCTCGTTCTCAGAGCCCGCCAGTAACGATGGTGTTCCTTTTATTTGTCTGCTACTTGCTTGGTTGTTCGTTATCCCGTTAGAGTCAGTCTAGGGATGGAGGCTAGTTTGGCTACTTTAAAAGTTGTAAGTAGTCAGTTGTTTGCTCTATTCAACTACATTTCTGAAATATGGAAGGCACGTGGTGCCGCATGCAGCAGGATGCTGTGTCCGTAGTGGAGCATTCGGCTTCTACTGATGAGTAGTTCCTAGCTTGAAATTTAAGAACCCGGGTGCATTGGGAACCGTCGAAATAATGCCTCCCCCCAATGAGGATCCTACTCTTTAGGGCATGCTTAAATGTCTTTTCTACTTGTATTTGTTTGCGAAGTTCCTTTTTTCATTTGGGCAACAGAAATCTGACGCGGTTTTTAGGATAAACCGCTCTGGTTATCCTTTCTCCAGTTGTTTCAAGAACTCTACTTCTTGGTGCACCTCATCTCTCTAAGTCATTGGCACACCAAAAGTGAATTCATTGCATGGTTATTCAAGTCAAATCACGTGGCCTGCTGCATAACGGTACAGTTCACGGCTGTAGTAACACTGAGGTAGTTGGTAGGCGGGACATTTCCAAAGCCTATGTTTTACGAAGCGGACAGTGATGATAACGATGAAACAAAAACAACCAATACACTCGCTGGCTTCGATCATTAGCATATATATACGATTGAGCGCGTAGTTAAATGCATTTAGCCTGGGATACCACTTATTCGCGCATGGCAAGGTTTTCAGCAACCTTTTGAGAGGTTTATTCAACTTTGCCACTTTATTGCATTTTCCTATGAATTCGTTTAACCCCCAAGAAGTCAACTGTTTTTTTTGTATCGCCATTTGCAGTGTGATCCGAATCAGTACGCTTTCACTAGAATTTTCATACGAGAGAAAGAATTTCTCCCCGAGATTCAGTAGCGTAAGCTGGGAAGCAAAAATGACCAGCGATCGGCCTCCTGAAAATTACGAAACCAGCAAAGTCATCCTGTGGCCGATTACCAGTGAAAAGCGGTATGATATGATCGCACTATTCAAACATGGTTTCCCCTGAACACTATCTTAATTTGCGTGTTTTCTTGTGCATGTGTTCACCTGCAGTTCAAATAGAAAGTAAGCTTCATGGAGGGGAACTCAGGGAAAAGGCCCACCTGGTGGAGCAAACAGTGTTCCGTTAGAGAGTTCTTAATAACCCGCATTGAGGTTTATCTAATCTCTCGTTTCTCCGTGTTACCGAAAGGGGATCGAGTGCGTTTACAGTATGGATATCCCGAGCGCATTGGGTGGGTTTTCTCTGGTACCGTCTATTTGCACGGGTCGGTTTATTGCAATGTAATGACGACTTATGGTTCAAAAGTCCTCAAAAAGAACGTCTAAAAATTCACTTACCTGCATCCTCGACTTGACCTGCACGTCGCTTCCGTCAACTGATAAGGCAGTAAACCAAACGCGTCACCATCCTTGTGGTTACGAAATAACGTTTATCTTCAGAAATAAATTCCTTACGGTGAATGGGGAACCTATAAAACGTGTGGTACGGAAAATTTCCACATGAAATTTTGTAGGAAGCGAACGAAGTTGCCAACTAATGCAATCGTATGCTGTATTATAGGATGAATTGATATTCAAAGGTCTGTAAAATGTGTCAGGCTGACAGAGGGCAGACCTTTTTCCTTAGGATGCATTCATATTTGCCCAACAGAGGTGTCGGTTAGCACGAAATCGAGTTCATTATCTCGTTTTCCTCATTCGAGACGTTTCAATAGGCATTGTGAAGTGGATGAACAGTCAATGTGGTCTATACTCGACAGGTTAGACAAAATAGAGAGATCGGCGCCTTTGCAGCAGGCCTAAACTTGGTCCAGTCTAATCGATCGATAACACTAGAGACATACTGTCATGTTTAAACGATCCGTTGGCCCAAATAGCGTTCTGTGGGTGAAGCGCGCTACTGATTTTATATAATACATTTGCATATATATGTTATATTTCTATTTCCTTGTTATGTAAAAGGTAGCTCCAGTTACCGACGCATAATATAAGCGCACTCACGAGGAAGAGTTTTTGACATCTTCTCACTGATCAGGAAGTACTGTCATGTCAAAGTGGGCAAAAGATCCTGAGAAGACGATCCTGAATGGTTCTTGGGGAAACTGGTGAGGCCCATGGGAAGTTATCTGAAGAATTCCTTGTGGCTGTTCGCCTGGTCCCAAGTACCAAATTGGGGTAGATCACATGGCATGTATAAAGATGGTGCTTCCGAAGAGGGCATGTGTCCAAAATGGTTCAATCCTAGCTCATTTGTGTGAGATTGCCTCTTAAGAGAGGCACTTGGGAAGAAAACAGTATTGTAAATCAGGGTAGAAAGTGTCTTTTGCGCATTTGCCACGTATTTCAAACTACGGCTTGGGCTATCAAATGAGAGTTACAGTAATGGATATTCATTCAAAAAGAACGTTCTTGCTGGCATTCTGATAACTTCAAAAGTGTTCGGATGGTGCCTTCGTCTTACGAAACCATGAGTTAATGGCAGTTTGACTGACCATAGATATACTTGCTTACAGCTACAGCACTGTGCGGAAGAGATTTCTCCCAAGAAACCTGGAGTGCTGTGGTGCGCGAACCCTTCGGAATCAAGTGGTCTGTGTGACACCTTTTGTGAGGTCAGTGTTGGGGAAGGAACACAATCAATTGTATTTCCATACCATGGTCACTTATGTGATCACCTACCGTTAGTTAAATCCAGCAGACCTGACTTTCGTTCTGATTAGGGAAACTTTCTTAGATTCTTAGGAGAATTCTGTCTCAAAAACGATTCTTTCTGAGGGAGAGGATGAACTGCGGTACATTGCTGTTGTTACATCATTTATGTGGCATGTCGTTGCCCCCAGATAACAATTATTCCATTGTTTCTTGTATCTTAGCTAGGAGTTCGACTTCCAATATCTCTGATTAGCACTTCACCACTCTCCGCTCGACCGCCTCGGCCGGCCAGTAAGCGACCGCGTAACAAACCAGCAGCGGGGAACAACGAAAACGTCCTGGACCATACACCTGTTTCCGGAAACTCGGAATGTGCAAGTACAGTTGAACTTTCTGAGTCACTCCATTCCTCAGCTGCCCAAGCTTCGAGTTCGATAGCAAGACAACCGTCGACCAGGGAAACAGAAGTACTGAACCAGCAAGAAGTTGATCCAACCGAACCAGTAGGAACTCATGTTGAAGAACAAAACAAGGCGGAACCAGAAAAGCCGGCGAGTATCCGACACACCAGACTGAAAGTCGCCTTTGTCGAACCGACAGAAAAACAAGAACGTTCGCCTACCAAAGTGTCCTCAACGGATCCCAGTTTATCACGCCCTGCTCCAACCATCCTCCGGAGCTCCGCGGGAAATACAACTTGGGGAACTCATAAACTCAGTCCATCCGCCCAGTTCCCCGGATGGGGTGTGATCACCGACGACGAAGACGAAGAAACGGTCAAAGACGCAGGCTCAAAAACAACTGGTGGAACCGAAACGATTGCGAACACGGAGCGGGAAATTGTTGAATCAGTGGTGAGTTACTTTGAATGCTTACATTCAAACAACCGGGAATTGGAACCAGATGTTGATTAGTCATTTCTTTTAAAAACTATTGGACAAGAATATGCACCCAAGTCAGAGGTCATCTTTCACTTGGCACTGTCCTATTGGGTACTATGTAAGAGATGTTTTCAGTTACCGTTGTAATAAATTTATATATATATATACATAGGTGAAACAGCTCCATAATTTATAGACGTAATACACTACTCATAAGGTTGTTGAAAATTCTTCGACAGCCCTTCTTGGGGCTAATTTCGTGTAATTTGGTTTCAAGTAGAACTGAGCCTACCTGGTGAGCCCGCACCTGCAACTGCCGCGTCCGATAGTTGCAATATGTCAGCCCAAGTGAGGGTGCTTCAGTGAGTGAGTCTTGAATCAACGACAGATCTGTGGGGTTCCTGTCGGAATTTAGTGGGAATGTAACCGCTCAGGCCACTTCAATTTCCCACGGAAGATCTTATTCACCAGATCGATAGAGAACCTCGTATACGTTACCCGATACCAATGAAAAACCCGTCCAGGATCGACCGCTTCCGGCTCAGAACGACGTAATCTTGTTTGAGTTTACTAGTGACGCCTAACAAATCAAACCTGACGGGGCGCCGTAGCTTTCTAGTCGTAGGAGTCAAATAGTCTGGGCGCAAGCCTATGAAACGGCTGCGTAGACAGGTAAAGTGTCCATCCTTTGATGGCTCACAGCCATTTCGCCACACAGGTGAGAAGTACCATCTAGGCGCATGCGTGACAAGAGAAGTTTTTGGAGAAACTTGGTGTGACTTTCGTCAAATACACTCGTTTGCATATGAACTGTTTTTTAGGGGAAATTCTACTTGCGAGTAGTTTCTTGAATATCGTACCAACTGAAACATGAGGTCATTGTGCAGCTCATTCCGTTGAAGAAATCATAAACGAGAGATTCAGTTGAGTCTCCCGTGGAAACTTAGTTGATATGTACATGAGTGTCGAAATCTATCCAATTCGGGTTCACGTAGAACAAAAGGTTGACGTAAACTCGGGGACGGTACCCACTTGGTGTGACTTTCTTTTCTTCCGGGATTAACGATATCCGCAGCGTGGTTCGACGCAATGTGCTTCCCTTGGCGAAATACACGCATTTGCAAATTAATTCGGTGGTAACGGGTTACGATGTTTTCCAATTGAATATGCAGCAAAAAGGCCACCTCCGTTTTAGATGGAACGATATCTGACACATCAAAATTGGTTTTCTTGGCTCGACAAAATCGGCTTGGATTCATTTGGGTTGCACCTTAATACCACTTGCAAACAAGTTCCTATTCAGGTAGAACATAAGGAAAATCGTGGACTATATCTACCTGATGTCTCAAGAAGAGCGAGACCGGCAGATGGTGGACGCGGGACTTTCTGAAACCCTACAGTTGCTGTGTCAAGACACACCGTCTAATAAAGATGACTTTGGGCTGAGTAACGATCAGCCTCATTAGGATAGTCTAGTTGGATTGGTGTGGTTGTACAGCTATATCTTGTTTTTTCCCGCCCCACAAAACTACCCACCGTCGTGCGAATGTCCCGCCTGTTCTACACTAAGAGAGGAAAACGGCCGAGTGTTGGTCAAATGGTTTGTTTCTGATGATGAGGACTAATCTGTGGGCAGAATATGAAAGTAACGTGATTCATTCTCTTACATTCAAATTTAATACTTCTGGCCTGGAAGTTCTAATTCAACATGGGACGGCCCGCGGAATACTTAGGACAGTAACCTGGACAAATGCGTTTCATTGCATAACTTGTTCCATGGTATAAGGGTAGGGGTGCTTAAGGTTATAGGGCAGCAAACCAGTCGGCCAATTCTGTCCAAAGTCTGCTCATCGGTTGTGGGCATATTTCCACAGCCCAGGGTTGAACCAGATGGCTCAGTGGTTAGAGCGCGAATTTACTGACCAGGAGGTCCGAGGAGCCCTCGTGTTTCCTTCGGTCGGCATGGCAGTTGGGCACCGAAAGGGCATCACAACTGAATGACGAGCCCAAGTTTATTCAGCCGTTCCTCTTGGTTGATGATGCAGATGCACAGTCGGTGACGTGCAGACAAAGAACGGCCATCAGAGCCAGACAGTAGCTGAACCAGTGAGGAGTTCGGAACGGCGCCGCGCACATTCGTCCTCGTGTTCATTATATGGTAAAAAGTTGGTAACTCGTGTTGTGAAGTTAGTGGATCAATGGTCCACTAGATTCGACGATTTCATATCAAGCATTTCATTTGCAAATTAATTTGATGCCGGGAGATGCCCCTGAATCTTCTACAGTACGCTTCAGCTGAATGTACTTCCCAGAGCACGCACATGTTTTATTTGTAACAAAATTCAAGACATCGAAGTAATTTGCACAATATTCCTTAGGTTCATGCAAACGTTGGACTACCAGCCATCGGTTTCCTAATTTATTACTTGACCCTCTGGCGATAAACACTGAAACTAGGTTGATATTCAGTTAGAAATTGAAATGGATGGAAATTCGAAGACTAAACCTACCTTGTAAGCCCCTAGAATGGAGGGACCCATGGGGGTCTGTTCAGACTGTACATCAACCTTATGTTTAATACTGAAACATACTGATTTTTTGAAAATTTTCTGAGTAGAACGTGTAAAAAATCATTCAGCGGTGCCTGGCTGCCATGCCACTCGGAGGAAGCACGGCAACGAGGATGCTGCCAGGTTGCCCAAGCCTATGCAGGAGGAGTCGAGAGTCAGAGGTCGGGTTCGAACCACGACCTACCGGTTAGCAAATTCGCACGTTCTAATCACTGGGCCCTTGCACAGCACACTCAGTTGAAGAACATCACAGACTTTGCGAATATGTTTTGGATGGATGATAACCTTTTCAGTTGAAGAACATCACAGACTTCGCGAATATGTTTTGGATGGATGATAACCTTTAGAGTGTCTCTTGTGACGAACATTCGTTCCACCCGAAGGTGTGCATCTGTTATCAACCAGAGCGGGTCATACTCTGAACAGGCGGGAAAAATGGAATAATTCACAAATAGAGGTGGCTCAAGTGGTTACAGCGCGAGTTTATTGATCAGAAGGTCCGTGGTTCGAACCCGACCTCTGCCTGTCGACTTCCCCTGACTAGGCTTGGGCAACTTGGCAGCATCCCAATCCCCGTGCTTCCTCCGAGTGCATGGCAGCCGGGCACCGAAAGTGTGTAACAGCCGAACGATTTTTGTTGTGTGTTTGGTCACAGCGATGTTTTAATTTTTGAGTGCGCAGTGAGTCTTTGTTCACTTCCGGTGACCAACAATGGTCCCGATATGGTGACGCCCAAGGATGCCTGGCCACACGGAATGATCTCGAAAGATTCTTGCAACGAAGTATTCTAGCTATTCTCAACTAACCAAAATAGAATATCAACTCCTGAGTGAGACTTGTCTATAGTGAACATAACTCTGAAGCGGATATAGGGTCGAGCAACATAAATACGGATAGATTCGATGTGTGCGCGCTTTTATACCGGTGTCAAACTACAGCGACTGGTCAGGGGAACTATTTATCGAATAACTGCCTTGAATTGTGCCTCACGTCGTTAGTAAAACCACACTGTCATGAAGTGTTTGCATGGCTTGGCTAGTTTGAGGAACATAATATGAGCGGATTTCCGGAATCGTTGCGTACGGGATTGGTACAAGCAAGCAAGACCCCCATTTCGACAGCTATTATAGAACGACGGTAACAAATAAAACCAGAACATCCGACAATCATTCACTGGTACGCCTTTTTCCATGACGATACCCGTCGCCATAACAACGGCACCATAATTCCCGTCATTATTAATGAATTGATTTCAACTTTTTCTCAGGCTGGAAAAACCGAAACGACTATTGCACAACCAATCACAGTTGAGGAAGGTACGAACAATGGGGATGTTGTTCGGCGGCCTTTAGTTGTCACCGTGGAAGATGTGGAGACATCCTCATCCCCAGAGCCTGACGGGAAAGAAGTGCCCACGAGCTATTCCCATTTCAGTTCCAGACCTTCAAGGGTTGTCACTGAGAAGGAGCGTTTTCAGATCCAACAAGAGTTCCTACGTCAAAATGCGCTGCGTGATTTAGCCCCACCTAGACCGAGCGGATCAGCAATGCTCAGGCAGCCAAGAAAGTCACTAGCAATGATCTTTAACAACCTGAGTAACAACCTAGGATTTATTCCAAAGAATTCCTCCAAGACGGCTACGTCCAGTCCCGTCCAGTCTCAAGTTACTCTTGCCCCCACAGACCAGGAACAGTCCACCCCAAGTTCAATACCTCCCTCAGTCCGAGCCAGTCTGATGGAACTTACTGGGTCGAAGCTGTTAAAAGACAGACGGGGACATTCAACCTTAATTCAGATTGGCAAAACCGACTCGACTGAACAGAATCTAACTTATATAAACGGAGATGTTTGTCGCCGTCCGGAACGAGGGCGATTAGGAACGCTGATCGGGACATCCTCCAATCGAGGGAGTGAAACTAACCCGACCACCATTGCCAACTTCGGCGCCCAACGTGCTTATTTGCAGGGAGACACAACTGCTGAGCGATCTCTAATCGTTGACCTTCTCTGCTGTACCTGTTGTACAAAGGTCGAGGAAGAGGAGGCCTACGCGAACCTAATCGAGAATCACAGACTAGCTCGAGTGATCACACTCGCCGCTGTTCTCACTATTTTGGGACTGATTTTGGCCTATATTATACGCTCCGCAATTGAAGCACCCCAATCGGATCAAACAAACACACCACCTGTTCCTGCAGCCATTAACCTACCCTCGGTATGGGGACAAGCGGATAGAAAGGTGAACACTGCCATTCACATAGAACGTATTCGCCTTCCAGAAGCGGACCCGCGGGTGACTGTGATAAACAGAAACGTCTCAGTTTCCTCTACCACAACTCTTCCAGTCACAGATACTGTGTGACAAACGTTTTCCAAAAATCGACCCTCTGTACAAATCCCGTGGTGGTTTATAGTGCAATTCTGGACATGTCATGTCTGGACTAGACGAACCATGAAGCTGCATAACTGATCTACCTCGCCTCGCCCTGCTTGTACTCTCACTTTAATGTGATCGACATCTTCACTGGTGCGTATCTCCCACCACCACCCCTCCCACGGGAAGGGGGTGCTTTTTGTACGATACTAAACTCGCAGATATTGTCATGCCACCCCTCACCAAGTCAGCGACAGACGATTGTGAACAACGTTCGTTCACCTGTACACACAGTAATTTGAGCCGTCTTGGTTTTTGTTTAATACTCCCACCTAATTGGGCACAAACGGAATGAGGGATTAGGATTCGAATGAAGACACTTTTCACTACGTCAGTGTGCAATTGCAACCGTGTTTAGGGGATTAACGGGGCACAACCCGACACTAAAAGACAAGTTTTCATCTGTCAACAAAGGCGAATCTCCAGACGAGCGTTCGAAGGGGCGTCGAAGGAATCAAATGTACAAGTATGTGTACCGACTTAGGGTTAGGGTCACACGCACGTTGCCAACATCTTTCGTTCACATCTAAAAGACAAGGGTGAAGCCCCGGGTCATGTAGAATACAGGACTAGGCAGCTTTTTGAGAAAAAATACGCCAACTCTCGTTCAGACACACTTGGGGAAGCAGTCTCATACATAGTTCAAGGTGTACAAGATGAACACATCGGGAATATCCGAGAAAGAATCGATTTAGCAAATTTTCTACAGGGGCGGTGGATGAAATGTTGCTGGAGAAAGCCACCCCACCGCGATGGTGACGATAAGTAAGCTTCAAAAAAACACAAAATTAGGCGCAACTCAGTAGATAGTGGTAAAGAAATTCATGGAGCGCTAAAACATCGAGGGCGAGTTGGACCAAGTGGTTGGAGCGCGAATTTACTGACCGCAAGATCCGTGGTTCGAACCCGACCTCTGCCTCTCGACTTACCCTGTCTAGGCTTGGGCGACCTGGCAGTATCCCAGCCCTCGTGTGGCAGGGTAGCTAGGCACCGAAAGGGTCCTACAGCTGAACGATCATCATCATCATCATCAAAACATCGGATGGAAAAGCGATTAGACAGACCTTGAAAAATACGTCTCCCAGATGAACATGTCACGGAGGTTCCAAAGTAGCATAAGCCTTGAGTCGGGTTGAGGGACAACCATAGGTCATTCTTCGGGAGAGGAAGGGTTGTAGATCACTGGGATATAGACTATGTCCAAGTGTACTTGGTTGGCCTCAGATGCCATCTGATTAAGAGTATAAGAGAACAGAAAGTTCTGAGGTGTAGTTTTTAAAACCCCAGGTAAACATGGCCTGACACTGGTTGCAGAGACCTTTTATTCCGCCGCGTAAACCACTGATGCATACCGTGACGACCGTGTTCGGATAAACACTAATCTGCAAGCCAAAGTGCTACTTGCTGTATTTTAGCGGCAAATGAGTGGTATGGCTGATCAATATCCATCATGAGAGTTTCGTGTTTTGAGACTGCCTTGCAAATGTTCCTAACGTTGCAAGATGAAACCCTCAGCGTTTAGCCGTGACCTCGACTGCAATGAAGGTGGAATAACGGCCAGTCATTGTCATGTCTCTGTGCTTGTGTGCTCTTCCTTCATGGCAACGGAGTCTCTCTGGTGAGTGCGACTGCTAAATAGGAGTTCCAAGCCACCGACAGATAACTCCCGGTAGCTTCTGAGAACGCCAAAATGCATGAGTCATCAAACGCGGTGAAGCCCTCGGGAGGAGGGGGCAGTCAAAGACTGTTCAATTTGCCCCGATTTACACTGCCGGAGAACACTGCGTTTTCCCAATGTATCAACAGTTAGGTATTACAATTTGGGTACAAGTTAGAAGGATTTTGATCACCAACTGGTCATACTTCATTCTAATTTACGCATGTGGGTCAGTAACAAACCAGACCTCGAAATGGGAATGTTTGATATACCAAGTGGTCTAAGGAGACTTAACAGATCGACCAAAGTAACCGCAGACCAGGAAGAAGCACGCGGTTTCCGCGGGAAACCAACATCACGGGAAGATATCAGGTCGGGCGCGAACAATCCGGCGCTGTTCGTTGTTATGACAGATCTACAGTAGCTGAGGAATCTGGACTACACATGCAGCAAGAACACTACGCAGGAACTGACTTCCAAATTTGAGATCCGGCAAATATTTACGTACACCACCTACCGTTCCCTCGACCAGCTTGCACAAGCAACCGCTTAACCAGGATTCTCGAATAAACAGCACTAAAAGTTCCGTAGAAATCCTCTCAACGAGTCATTCAGGTGGTCGGTTTTACTCAGGGTAGATCTCACGCTAAGGGACAGGATTTACAGAGACAGACTGTCCGACACGCCGGAAATAATTCAGCTTTCTTTGGAAAATCTCCCAGATATGAGTACTCATTTCGTGGTGGTTTGGCACGGTGGAAAACGCGGATACGGGTTCCAGCTCGAACTTCGCCCAGTCTCAATTCACCGCTAGGGTTCGTCACGCAGAGAATATGCCTTAAAACAGTGTTACAAATTTAGGAAATACGTGGCCAAGACAGAATCATCGTCTTAAGCACAGCGCAGCTACGTCAACACAATCGTCAATCAGAGCGTTCGCCTGAAGCTGCTTCTGGGATGCAGTCGGAGTTGGTAGGAGGCTAATACTGGTTACCGACACCAGCAACCAAGCGCTCACGCCAAAGCATGTAAAGAGATAGTGTCCAAGTTCGATCAAAAGCGCGAGCACACGCAGCTACCCATCCTAGGATTGAACTGTTTCAGGTGTGGACAAAACTACTGAGACTGGAAAACACCGCCATTCTCCTTTGTCTACAACGGCTCACCACCCTATAACGGACAAAGTTGGTGCTTAAACACGATAAGCACTGATATCGTGCTTTATCAAAAATTATCGAGTGAGAACGGAAAAACTGAAGGTCTCTTCGAATTAGTGTACTGTAGGTATAAGATACTAGACTAGAACTGTATCGGTTTGCATATGAGGTTCCCGTGTACCCCATCAGAGAATCATACGAACCTAAAGATGCGATGCCGATAGCGCCGAAAGAAGACGAAATAAAAGAAAATCGCAAGACAAGCGCTCGAACCTCGAGAATGAACTATAAGGGAAATGCGGACGCTTGGTCGCGCAATGAACGGGGGACTTTGAACAAAATATGCTGCAGAGTGGATAGTCGACAAGCATGAGAACAAACCCATAACAATCTAGAAAACTACAGTCAACAAATGTATCCAACAAGTCACGTCCTATTCCGTAAACATACTCTGTTGCTCACGTTACTTTCGACCTTTCTGAGTAACTCTGTTGACTTTGCCCTAGGTTGTGCGCAGCACCGTATCAAATCACATGACTCGATAATGAGAACGGGCGGGTGACCACGCCAAACCCCCCTATACGACAACAGCCAGAAAGTTTTATGCTTCGGTCACATATACTGATCGTGCGACTAAGTACGTCGTTGCTGTTGATCGTGTTATGTTAGAAAAGACTAAAAGTAATCCCAACTGCAAGTCTGCCGGAATTTAGAAAGTTGAAATATGGGTTAGGAGTGGATATCAGGACACCGGAGAAGTTGGCCTACTGTGCTGAAGAGAAACACAGAGCTAAAAATCAATATAATCCGACGAGTACTGCCAACGTTTGATTCACGACTAGTCAATTTTCATCTCGAAACACAACTTCCCTGTACTCAGCCGTCTTTAGGCCATCTGGAACTTCAGCCATGCTTTTCAACTTGACACAACGCACGACGTTGCTGAAAATTTTCGAAAGTTTACCACCAGTTTCACCTTTCTTGGGGCTCATTGATATGACGCGGTCAACTGAAAGATAAGGCGACAATATGACATTCAGCAGGGATTTCGTTGAGTCTCAGGTCAAGGTAACTTGCATTTGGGGATCAGACGTTATGCTTCAGAAGTTCGCTTTTTCGGTGAAACGAAGCTTAGCAAAGTACCAATGAAAGTTGAGAAATACAGTATGCGTTGGTTTTTTCGGCCGTGTACATCGGATAGCTGTTTTCCTGTGTACCGGTTACCGAAGTATTCGAAGATTTAAGGCTGCGATACTGAATGACCATGAGCCACGCTTAGGGTAGAAAAGTTGACCGGCGCTCAACACAAACAATCAACCCAAAGCCAAGCCCGTCCGTAAATAAAGCCACTGCAACTCCCCTCTCACTTCAACAAAAAGAACCAGGATACTTGGGACAACATATTGCAAACCGGTATGTGAGTGTGCGAACCACTAAAAAGATAATAGTCAGTCACCGGTTGCTCCTTCGAAAAAAACGTGACAAGTAAAATGTTGGGGAAATGGAAACAGAGGAACGGTAGGCTGAGGGGACGAGACACAGTGCGAAATATGACGTTTGTGGGTCAATAACGCCCTCTTCGACTACGCTTGGCTGCTGTTCCAGAACGTGTCGTTGGTGGTGCGACTACCTCGGAGTCGGGGAGCTCGCTGGCGGTCTCTGCTACATGGGATGAAGGCTGGTCATTTGCAATTGGCTCCGGAGCAGAACAAGAGCCGGCTTGTTGTTCTTTTGGTTCCTTCTCCCTATCCTCCTCCTCCTCCTCCACATCTGCCTCGTCCTGCTGTTGGGCATCCACAGAGTCAACTTCCGACCGCCGTCGTTTAACGGCTCCGGGGGCAGTTGCCTCGATGTCGACCGTTTCCGTAACTTCAGAATCACCACCGATGCCTTCCAGTGAGTCCTTAGCAGTATCTTTCTTCCATGCATGGTTGGAGCTGAGTGGTTCCATATGGAGAACCTGAATAAAGTGAGCATGTTGGTATGATACCTGGTATGCTGGTGAGGACAACAATCAATCCTTGTTGTTCGGTTCCTTCTCCCTATCCTCCTCCTCCTCCCCCACATCTGCCTCGTCCTGCTGTTGGGCATCCACAGAGTCAACTTCCGACCGCCGTCGTTTAACGGCTCCGGGGGCAGTTGCCTCGATGTCGACCGTTTCCGTAACTTCAGAATCACCACCGATGCCTTCCAGTGAGTCCTTAGCAGTATCTTTCTTCCATGCATGGTTGGAGCTGAGTGGTTCCATATGGAGAACCTGAATAAAGTGAGCATGTTGGTATGATACCTGGTATGCTGGTGAGGACAACAATCAATCAATACTCACTTGGACTGTACAACCTTGAAGGACCCATAAGGCTTGGGGGAACACGGCTAAGATCGGGTGGAAAAAGATCATTGACTTCAACATTAAACAGAGCAATCTCCCACGTAGTTTACGGAACAAGTTAAATTCACCAGATCTATATGCGCTTTCTACGCCAACCACTCCCTGCAAAGGGATGGTATAATCGACCTAAGCATGTGAACATACGTCACACCCCTCCGTAAATGGTTATTCACAGTGATGGATCTGCGATTCCAGCACACGAGACCTGGAGTTGACTGTTCCCCGCATACCGGTAGCTTGTCGTGTGAAGCGTTAAGCACCTGTCTCCTGTGCTAGCGTATTTTTGTCTACGATAATGATGAGAATGTATGAGGTGTAGAATACGGCAAGCCAGATGACACGTGTTAGAACTACGCCTAGTGGTTTCATCTACACAGAGCTACTGCCCGCTAACCCAAGGATGAAAAAGTCACGTTCTAATATCGCGGTTTAGACTTTCACGAGAAATCTGACTAGAAATTTTCGCTGACAACTCACCTTGTACAACTGTTTGAACGCGATTTGCCGCAGACAAAACTGTGCCGAAACAGTAATTTCTTCCCGTATCGATATCGGAGTAGTTGCCAACAGGCTGTAGGCAAAGAACTGCGAGGGTGAATCGGTTTCGTCTGGTTTCAGGTCTGCTGTGTCCGCCACAGGTTCCACTGGCTGTGGTTCCCCTTCACGAAGTTGAATAAGCAACCCACAGGAGATGGCTTCAAAGAATCGACGGAACAACCGCCCCGGTCCAATAAGTGGTACGGGTAACGTAACTGGCAATCGGGGACGAATCGGCGCTCCGAAAGGTTGTCCAGACGGAAGAAACGGTGGTCGCTGTCCTCTCACGGGTGGAAGACAGGCCAGTTGCAAATCAACAGTCAAAAGGCGACCCAGTAGGGCCAACACGCCCTGGGAAAATAGGAAAAAGCGACGTAATAACAAGCGGTGTTTGTTAAATGAGTTTTGAGTAGTATGCGACATTCGAGCCTTCGTCATTCGACACTATCTGAGTAGGTTCTTCAAACGATCATTTTACGATGTAGTGTAATGTGTATGGAGTCTAACTACCACAAATGAAAGTGAACAAAAATCATACAGTTCTGTTACGTGCACATAGTGTTTAAAGATCGGCTAGTGGCTCATTCTTAGGAGGTTACTTAGTTGGTGATTTAAATGATCCTTCCGGGGTTTGGTTTGCGCTGTGGTCTGAGTATGTTGCATCTGATTGGTTCGTTAAGTATCTCCGTTTCAGTAGTCCTGTTGCTTTATTCCAAGTGGTCATTTTAGTCTTTCTTATATGTTGCGTTCCAGCCAGTCTCCCTGTCATTTGATTGGTCGATCGAGCACCTATTTTTAGTAGTTTTCTTCGACTGGTTTGATTGCAATTTCTATTGTGTTGTGGAACACAACCATTACGTAAGGTACATCTTTGTTTGACACAATTTTCAATTTGATATCCTGCTACTCTGTTTCATCTTCGGGCTGAGTGTGTATTCCAGTGGTCTTCTTTTTGTCGAGTTTCGTGGCCTCCATTCATTTCTCCTCGGGCCTCTTGTACAGTTTCGCGTTGGGATGCTCCAAGGCTTATTGTTCCTGGAAGGTTGATAGACTGGGTGGACGTCATTACGTCTGTTGATGGCATTCTCGGTTGGGTTCAGGTTAATTATTTGTTCTTGCTGGGGCTAGTATATAAGGATTATCTGTTTAGTTTATGCCCTTCCTGAATTTCGTGTAAGGAGGCGAGTGAGAATTGGTCGAGAGGTTAAGCAACAAGATGGTGTTCGTGTAGCCTCGTGCATACAGAACTTCCACTGGATTTTGTATATAACAGCAACTTCGTTCTCCTTTTAACTTTGATTGTGCTTCCCGAAGCATGCCGGTCTGTATGAAAAGCTACAACTATGTGGTACTGCTGCAACATTCTTACAGCTAGTTCCGGAATGTCCTTGATGCAATCCGTTTGTCTTCTCCTTGCGTTGTTGAGTCGGTCGGGTGAATTGCGCTAAAGGATAACCAAATGAGATTTATCGGATAACCGTTGCTTTGGAAAGCTTTTTATTGGTGTTGCCATTCAGGTTTGGATCCCGTACGGTTACAGTGTGTTTCAGTATCCGAATGCAGTTTTGTTTGAGGCATAAAGGGTATATAAAATTGCTCGCTAGATTCAAAATTTGAAACGCCTGGTAATTCACGGGGTCCGACCATCCCTGGGTCGACCCATTCGAAAGCTTCTTCACGCTATAATACCATTCTGCTTAAGCGCTAGGACGAAGCAGCTTCGATAGAGTGGTAGGTTGTTTTCAAGTTTGAAATAAAATGGTGGATGAGCTGGTGACTACAGGTAATCGAATCAAACGCTTGGCAGTTCTGTAGCCACAGTAGACAGTTATCAACTGTTTCGGACATCCCATCCACACAGACCACCAAAATTGTGAGCAACATTCAAGGGGAATGTTCAACATTCATCCAACTGATATGAACCAGAAGCGTCTGACAGAAAAACCCTTCAGTGCTTCAGTGCAATCCTTACTCATCCACACCAACTTATGAAAAGCGAGTCCCTTCTGGAAGACACTCAACGGTTGATTCCACATGCTTAAAAAGTCGACCGATTTTGTAACCCAGTCACTTGGCCTCTAGAAGCTCTTGTATGTCAAAATCGAAATGTTGCCCATCAATAAAACTACCGACTGTCTTCAAAACTTCCCTGAAACGATGAGTTCTCGATCCGCACTAAGCGTTTTCCAACTGAAGTCCCCAAATTTTTACAGCGGCATCACTTATTACAAAGAAATCCTGGATAGACGACATAAAACTGGCCACAATTCCAGCAGCACGATAAATTCAAAGGTCATGCCTAGCAAAATGAGGTTGAATAGAATACAGCTTTTGTCCTACGAGCACTTCAAGCTGAAATCAACAGAAACTTACGAATTGGTTCAGATTCAACCAAATCTTTTCAGTACGCATAAAGTCTACAAGCACGCGAGCGACAATCCCGAGAGGCGGCGTCATCAATGCACCCTGTAAAATGATGGCAATGAAGTGTGTGTTGATTGATAAAACGAGAAAGACGCATGTGATAGATGAAGGACGACTGAAAAAGAAACCGCACGGTAGCGGGTTTCATTAGATTCGCCTAAATGTACACCTCAATTTGGCCAGGTAGCGAGTGATTAAGTAAGCAAAAAAAAACACAAGTGGGTGTTCGAGGTCTTGGACAGATTATATCAACCGTCCAGAATACGTAAAGATCACTCGAATGGAGCGCGTTTTCAGTACCAAAATTGTTCAGCTGTAACAACCTTTCGGTACCTAGCTGCCGTGCCAAGCCGCCCAAGCCTAGACAGGGAGAGTCGAGAAGCAGAGGTCGGGTTCGAACCACAGACCTTCCGGTCAAGAAATTCGCATTCTACCCACTGAGCCATCAGTACAACTAACACGCAATGTCAGAAACGTGTGAAAGCGGAAATTCCGTCAGGTCACCTAAAAGGCAGCTCAAAAAGTTGTCAAGAGTTTTCGAAATGCAGCTCAGTTTGCCATTATTTGGAGTCCGCGTAGCCGAGATAATCAGCAGAAAGGACAAGATCACTGAACGGAGGTCCTGCGTCTTCTAACTGGGAGAGTCGGAAGCAGAGGTCGGGTTCGAACCACAGACCTTCCGGTCAAGAAATTCGCATTCTACCCACTGAGCCATCAGTACAACTAACACGCAATGTCAGAAACGTGTGAAAGCGGAAATTCCGTCAGGTCACCTAAAAGGCAGCTCAAAAAGTTGTCAAGAGTTTTCGAAATGCAGCTCAGTTTGCCATTATTTGGAGTCCGCGTAGCCGAGATAATCAGCAGAAAGGACAAGATCACTGAACGGAGGTCCTGCGTCTTCTAACTACGATGATTCCACTGAAGTGATCAGTCGACCGACAGCCCCACCGAGGAACAAAGCATAAGCACGAAGCAGGAAAAGTTGAATATGGGTGAATGAATGCAGCGACGTTCCGCGGAGAAAATCTGCTGCTCTGAAAGCTCGTCCCGAAAAATATGTTATAAAAAGACAAATAGAGAACCGAAATCGTCGACAATTATTCTTCTGGTACAGCGCGGTGTTACAGAATGTTTACGACCCCATGACCTACGATAAACACCCAGGCGTTCAACAACAGTAGAACCATAACTATGATTCATGCGCGTGTTCAACTCCTATGGACGCCGACCGGGAAAGAACAGCATGTTACTTCTGGTATCAATTAGTGATTGCATAAGGTTTCGAAAAATCACGTCAGCTGGCTAATCGGCGGCTTAGACTACTTGATCACAAGGACTAGTTGTTTGGTGATAGAAACGAAAGCACCAATGGAAATCAAATCACACGCCAAAGGGTTCACGGAGAAGCAAGAACACAATAAAATATGGTATAAAAGATAACAGCTTAGAAATAGGATAGGAGAACAAGTTGGCTGTTCAAAATTCGATCGTAAGGGCAACTATTTTTCTCCTAAATAGAATTCTAGCGAAGGAGACGGATCACACGGGAGCTCACAGGACTGTCAGTACAGTGCAGTGAACCGTAAGGTGTGACGGCACTTTCCACCTCGAACGCAGTCAATATTTCGACATAATTTTGAAGGTAGCAATAAAAACAAAAGGGCGAGATGTAACTGGAGGACACAGAGCAGTAGATGTGAACGGTAGCGTGCGACACGTCGATTCCCCAGGTGCCTGGCTGATGTGCTTAAAGCCGGGAGCCACGTAAACGGGACACGAGGGCAGTTAAGATGGCAATAAAGATAGAAAGCGTCAGCGGTTGCACGCTTTCGTTTAGCCGCCCTGTTATAAGCAATAAAGCGATTCAACTGATGCCACCAGATCGACATACCACGAGGGTACGTAAAGTTAGTGGCTCTCCATGAACGCCCTCCAATATAGATGACGGCGCCCTTCACGATCAATTATTCTTCCCACACTGTAAAAACTCGGACTGGATGAAAATTTTCCTGGTTGAATCTGCAGTAAATAAATACTGATTAAATTGATACTAGCGGGCCTTTTTATGGAACAATGAAGCAAGACAGACCTGTAGGAATCGTTAATGAAAACAGTAGCCGAAGAGAACTGAAGCAGCGGCAGATCAAGCGGTTAAAACGCACGTCATGAAAAAATCCAAATCCTTCAGTTATTGTCCCTTTTGATGCACGTGCAAGTAAGCTCCATGACTAGGGTACTTTTGGGTTATCCAACCCCAAACAGATGTCAACAAAAGCGCAACAAAAATCAATGGTATCAATGGTTCACCAATACGTTAGGGTATGACATTCGTATTACGGCTCAACGTACCAAAACGGTCTGTAAATAAAAACTTCAAATCCAGTCATTAAGCCGCATCCGTCTGGTTCAACCGGGACGAATCACAGAAGCTGAGCCGCCTCATTGACAGCAACACATCTTGGTGCTTAACCATCAAACAAGCATCGGGGAATGGTAAAAAAAGAAAGGGGAAGTAGGGACTTTGGATGAATAATTCCTAAGTCCTCAAGGAAGATGGTACCTGCTGCAGGATTCCAAGTCACGTACAAGGAGGACCAAGTAGATCCAAATCAGGAAGGCGCTGCACTCAGTTTGATGGTAGCTGCTTTCATATCACGTTACTATGTCATAGTCCATCCTAAGTAAATCTTCCGCTATCAAAGGCTTGGAACGGAAAACAAAGTCCATTTGAGTAGACGGTAGCTGAAAATAGGAGACATTCCCCAGTTAACTTAACCCGGTTAGTTTAACCTGCTACTCTAGAGATTCCGACAATTCGTCAAGTAAGCACTTAGAGAGAGATGTCCAGATGTAGCACCCTTTCGGTGCCTAGCTGCCATGCCACGTGAAGGAAGCACGAGGCTGGAATACTGCCAGGTTGCCCAAGCCTAGACAGGGAAGTCGAGAGGCAGAGGTCGGGTTCGTACCACAGACCTTCCGGTCAGTAAGTTCGCGCTCTAACCACTTAACCCATCTTGCCCCACACGCACATCACTGCGTACTAGCTGAAGCCAGCTAACTTCAACAATGGTACGAAGACAACGGTGATCAAAAGTGTGAAGGTTCCTAGAGTCCTCGAACCGGAGGAGCCAAGTCTCACAAACACATATTTGCGTTATACACATAGAGATGACGAAACTCGCTTCTGATACCATGAATAACGCGAACGCCGCTCACACCTTCGTTATCGGCGGTTCGAATTCAAACGTACGGGAACGGTCAGGGCCAATGCAACTACCAGGATGCGTAAACATCACTGGGCTATTGTCCGACTGACGGTCCAGCTCGATTGTATTGTGAGCCTGAGGGGAGAAAACCCTTCGAATCAGGCAGTGACACCGAGCATTCTAGGACCCAGTTGTTTGTTTATGCCCTCCGAAAACACTGATGTCACGCATAGCCGTGTTTATCTCATCCCCTGAGAACACCAGTTGCAATGCACGGCAGGGGTTTGGTATGCTTCCCTAACGAGACCGTTTCTGGAGCCCACCGGGAAATTTCTGATGGAAACCCGCAGCGAAAGAGAGATAGATGGCTCGATGGCTACAGTGCGATCTTACTGGTCGGAGATCACACAACTTGAACCCAGCCACTGCTCCTGTCTAGGCTTCGGCAACATGAGAGTATCTCAGCCCTCGTATTTCCTTCGGATATCATGGTAGTTTGGCACCAGGGGCTGTTACACCTGAATTATTAGTATTATCATCATTTTTAATAATCGAAAGAGTGCATGATCTCAAATTGTGTACCCTAAAACGGTCAGCAGTCAAGAACTGAACCAAGTCCAGTAGACTAATGAAACCTCGTGAACTGAGGGTTGTACGAAACTGTGCAGTTCGTAGTCGGTAGCGTAGAGACAGCAATGTAAGTTCGAGTTTCGAAATACATGTATCAGCTGATCAAGGCCAACAGAAGCTAGTTGGTTGAGATACCCAAGCGTTGCACACTAAAGGTTGTAATTGGTTGTAGATCAGGTGGCAGTCAATATTTCGTCATAATTTTGAAGGTAACAATAAGAACAAAAGGGCGGGGTGTAACTAGAGGACACAGAGCAGTGAATGTGAACGGTGGCGTGCAACACATCGACACCCCAGGTGCCTGGCTGATGTGCTTACAGCCGGAAGCCACGTAAACGGGACACGAGGGGAGTTAAGATGACAATAAAGAAAGATAGACAGCGTCAAAAGACGCACGCTTTCGTTTATCCGCCCTGTTACAAGCAATAAGGCGATTGAACTGATACCACCAGATTGAAATGCCATGAAGGTACGTGAAGTTCATGGTCGAACGTAACAGAGCGCCCAAACCTAGACAGAACGATTAAGGTCCTCAACCAAAGACTCTGGCTCTGAACGCAATCGAGCGGTGGTCGGCGTAAGATTAATCGAGTAGCCCAAACTTTTGGGAGCGAATTTCCACACGTTCCAACATGGTAGGAGAAACTCCGTGGACATCAAATGAGCATCCTCCAGTACGGCTCGATGAATCACTGAAGCATACAAACTATCGCACCACAATAAGGTGCAGCCTAGTTTCACACGGAAACAAGCGGGAGGAAGTATGATGCTTCTGAACCGGAGGGATTTCAAATCATGCGCTTACAGCTATACAAGACGACGCTTGTGAGGGAATCGTCTTGAACCCAGTAGGCTTTTGAAAGACCGCTCCGCACTCTAGATTTTGAGTAGCAACACATTCAAATGTGACCCACGGACGCAGTCTCATCATTACGGCTATGATTAGTTGATGAAGACAGTCTGAATCATTGATCGATTGAATGACGAATAGCCATGGAAAGGAGGTTTTGCGTGCGACATGAACGTAGCGCTTTCGTCTGACTAGAGCACTGTTCCTCAGGGGAAGCTGTTGCGAATGGTTCAACCAGAAGACTTGAAGTGAAGATAACTGAAGGAACTCAGGACCAGTGTGTCCAGGATTAGTAACTTCTATATACGGTGAGTATCAATCTAGCCACTCTGAGTCAAAATCAATGAGCCGGTGGTGTCCACGATCAGTTAAGCCTTTTGCCAACTTATCTGATTCCCTGTAAACTTTTGTGGCACTTTGGGCCTAGAGCGAGAGGCTCGTTTTTTTTTCAGACGGACAGTTTAGCTGACATTGTAACCAATAGGCTCTCCCTAGTTCTAGAGTAAATCGATCTGGTCTTAAAGTATTTCGGTATGGTAAGATGATAGAGAATATTCGCACATTGGAAAGAGACTAAATTCTGTAAGTTTACTTCGGCTAACCTCACACTGATCGCAAATGGATGTATCTGCTCGTCTGAATAAATAGACAAAGCCAAGGGTTCCACAGCGGTGGGAGTGGTAAAAATCCATAAAAGCGACCCGTGAGAACAAAATTAAACAGCTGTTTTCTATGCGCTCAGCTGACACGTGTGTCAGCTGGCTGATACAAGAAAAGATACACTGATGACCCACCTGGAACCACTTAGCTTGGTCGATAGCATCCAGAGCATCTAAACAAACGTTCTTTGGAATCCGCTCTCCCTGGGCGAATAGTTTCCGCACATGGGAGAGCGATTCCGACTTCACTGTGTTCGAGGCTTGCGGTTGCTGCTGCTGCTGTTCGGGGGCAGTGGGCAAAGCAGTGTTCGCGGTCACATTAGATCCGTCCGCTGCTGCTTTCACGGCACCCGACACAACACTGTTGTTGGTGTTGGCGTCTGGATTGGTGTGTAAAGCCAGAAAAAGCATGAGTAACCATAATAATGTGGTAGGGGACGAAAAACGACAACACAAAAAGGGAGAGAAAAGGGGCGTCAGGCGAAACCGCAACTCATCAACGCCCGGAAGCAGCACCAAATAACCCATTTCAAACAGAGGGAGGCTCACGTGAGCTGCTAAACACATTTGAGGGGTAATCGCTCGAGTGTAAGATGGTCACGAGTCCTAGATGATCAACCGGCAGTGTAGTGATAGCAAGCGTCAGCTATCGTAGGTTCGGAGTAATACACTGTAAGCGATGATCGTGTACACCGCAGTTCATCCTGCAAAAGCCAACTTAACAATACGGATTCGGAAGCTTCCTCATAATTTCGGACACGCTGACATTCCAGGCCCACGGCAGCTGTCCAGATGATAGGGCCAAACTTTACCAAACCCCATAGGAGATATCACATTGAACGAACCGTTCGAGTTGGCTTTTCCGTCCACAGCATGACAATAGGAAGACATCCAATGTGAACACTAGAATGGAGATGCGTGTATAACCACTTATGACAGTGACAACCCCACAGGATACACTCTCCAAATACTCCTTTGTGAATCCTATTAACCGATGACCTCTCGAGGCAGCTAGGCATTGACCTCCTTTTTCTGTTATATCGCTGCTACCAAGAAAAATGTTCTTCTGAACTCGCCTCTAAGCATCCACTCATCATTAGTAGGTTCGAATATGTTGCCGGGATACATAACTCTCCTCTTCACTTTTCCCTCAGAACTATTCGAATTTGTGATACTCTACTGTGCTCTATTTCGCAACTTCTCCAAGAATTGGATTAACGCTTAGGTGTCCGGCATTTCCAAATCCCTGTGACCGGTATGCACCTAGTCGTTCTTCGTGTGTTCTGTGTCACTCGGAGTGTTTGAACTGGTCTGTTGCGCTGTTGTTGCCATCCGTCTTCGACCAGAATTTCCTCTGCCCGCTTGTGTTAACCCAGAATTAGTGAGCAGAAGTGATCATGCCGATAGGCTGAGAGATGTTTACAACAGAATCCTCAAGGCCACAGAATACTGAAGCCACTGAAACTAGGCACAAACTAGAATGGTTTGCAACACTGCAGCAATTGACAATTTTCCTCTAGAGCAGGGTGATATTGAAATGCGAATAAGAGGGGGAAATCTCCCCGGTGGGAGACAATTATAACGTCAGCGCACCAAAGCTATTCACCTAAGCAATTCCGGAATATAAGAAGTGCCCTGACTAGAAACGGACAACTTTACGGAAATTGTATCGCAAAGTGACGGAATGGATCTAAGTTGCAGTGTCGAACAGTGACTGCTGAACAAGCAAGAATGAATACAGGTGGGCTATCATCAGAACTAAACGATTCCACCTTCAATGCCAGAAGACGGGTGTAGACCAAAAGCTTCGTTCAGCTGTGACGGACGTTCGAAACGAACCTAAAGTGCTTGCGCAGGCTTGGTCGGTGAATCAAGAATGGGATATGAACCAAGATGCCAAATCGCCTGTTAGCCACTCCGCTGTCTCGAACTTGACCAAACACCAATAAAAACGACAAGCTGGAACTGACAGTTATTCATCGCCCATCTGTCATGGATAACAAAAACAAAGCACATTACCTTTATTCATGATTTCATCATCACAGGCTGCTCTTGAGGTGAGCTGAATGCGAATAGTGATGACTGGCCACTCATCCGCAATCGACTCGTCTGCTTTCAACTCCGACTCCGGTACCTTTCGTGTGGTGCGAACAGTCAGTTGACCTTGGGCTGGGATATCACTCACAACATACTCATATTGATCATCCATTGCCTGGTCAGAGAAAAAATAGGACGTTAGGCGGCTGCATAAACGGGACAAGCACAATCAACTGTGGGATAAATTTCACGGGAGTTCTAATCCCGCAAAAAAAACAGACGATCAGGAAACTAAAACTAGGATAGTGTATCAACTACCCCATTAGTCTGCCACATGTCCTTGAATGGCGCCACCACTTCCAACGATCATCCGGTTCTTGGGTTTTCTCACTCCATACAACATTAGACGTATCCTACTACAGTGTTTCCCACAATAAAAGTTGCTGTAAACCGACCCGGTAGACGCTAATGGTCCTATTGAAAGCTCACT